TTTTGTTGACCTTTGTCCATGGAAGGTCCCTGCAAAATTTCATTGAAATTGGTTCAGGGGTTTTGGAGAAGAAGTCGAAAATGTAAATTGTTTACGGACGCACGACGGACGACGGACGACGAACGACGGACGACGACGGACAAAAGGCGATCGCAATAGGTCACTTGAGACTTTGTCTCAGGTGACCTAAAAATCCTGTGGAGATAACCCCTGAATGTTTTTTACCATTCACAACACTTGAAATGAACACCTCTATTTTGGTATCAGCACCATTATCAAAATAGTCAATTTGTAAACATGTTGTATAGTTTTGATTTTTTTTTGCAAAGGGTTCACCTGACAAATTCCACATTTTGCTTTAAAAATTGCGATTACTTTCTGGTTAAATCCATCCATCAACATTTTCAGTTTATGTTTTTTTATTACTTTTCGAGTATTGCTTTCTTTGGATAACAGTAAATATAGGCTGCAAAGGAATACTTGGTTGTTTTTGACAGTACACTCTGTATATATAACAGTGAAGATTGGGGTGGGTTTTTTTGCTGCATTATATTTACAAAATTAGCCTATGTGTGAGTTCTGTTTTGCTTGTCTCTAATAATAAATCCTAAATTTCACCACATCTGAAATTTTCTCAAGTCAATGGTTTTCTGTTCAGAACATGTTTACATAATTCAAACTTAGATTTGAAATGTCTTAGATGACACATAATCAGAGTTTGACTTACCAGGGGCCGCGGCTGTTTAGGTGGTTCTCTAGCCTCTTGCTTTTCATAGGGACCTTTTTTCTAAAATGAAAGAGATTGTATTTGAATCCAAGATATTTTTATTATGAAAAAAAAGAAAGATACAAATAAACTACTGTACATTGTAAACTCCCTCACTATATGTACATACCATACATCAACTTCAAGCGATTCAGCTAATTTTGTCACTAAAATAATTTCAATATCATCAATGAAAAGTGCGATTCTTTATATTTTTAACTTGTTTTCTTGTCTGATTTTCCTTTTTTCACAGGTATATATAACTAGTTTAATCAAATTGGCTCCATAAATAGTAAAACTGGTTTGACTTGTTTGACAAAACATCACCTTTACTAGTACTGCAGTCTCAAGCTAAACATAAAACTATATATTTTTTGTTTTTTGATATTTATCTTTTAAATTCTGTTAATGGAAAGAATCACCATGACTTTCCAATAACGAAATAACATAAAAACAAGAGGCCCATGGGCCTAAACAGTCACCTGAGTCCTACAGTATTTATTTTTGTTGTTGAAATATGTACCAATTTGAGAACAAAATAGTTAAGTATAATGTTAACTGAAGTTTGTCAGGACCATGAGCTGATCATTCCTAGACCGAGTTTCAGTTAAATCTGCCTATTAGAACTTGTTTTCAAGTTTGAAATAGTTTTTCAAAATGGCGGCTGTGGTGGCCATATTGGATTTCTGATCGACCCGAAAAATAACAACACTTTGTGAGGACCATGAGTCGATCATTCCTATAAAGTTTCAGTTCAATCGGCCCAGTAGAACTTGACTTTAAGTTTGAAATAGTTTTTCAAAATGGAGGCTGTGGTGGCCATATTGGATTTCTGATCGCACCGAAAAATAACAACACTTTTTCAGGACCATGAGTCCATCATTCCTACAAAGTTTCAGTTCAATCGACCCAGTAGAACTTGACTTTAAGTTTGAAATAGCTTTTCAAAATGGAGGCTGTGGGGGCCATATTGGATTTCTGATTGACCCGAAAAATAACAACACTTTTTCAGGGAGATGTAAGTAACCTTCCCATGAAATATTACTGAAATCCCTTTGCCAGTATTTCAGCTTAAGTTGAAAATGTAAAATGTTAACGGACGACGGACGACGATGGACGAAGACGGATAGCAATAGGTCACTTGAGCTAAAGCTCAGGTGACCTAAAAATCAGTAGAAACCCTTACTATTTAATGTTTGATAATCATTACATCTGTTGATGACCATTTCTCACACATTCTACCAATATTTGAGTTTTCTAAGAGGACTAAACCCTGGGAGGTGCCTAAGAAACAAAAAGAGTGAGATGTTACATTACTTACAGCACCCTCGTCAGAATCTAAAGAATTCATCATATTCTTCCAGTTATCTTCCCTTGCCTTGTTGATCCTCGCCATCTGTGAAAAAGGGTATTCAGGGGGTTTGAAGGAATCTTTACAATTAAACTTTGTCCCAATTGACTATCCCGTTATCTATTACATTTCTTCTACAGTAAACATGCAGTTTTATATGTCATTTTTTTTTGTAAAACCTTAAGTTTGCTTGGGGAGGAAATCTGTCCTTTCTGTACCAATCGTGTTAAAAAAGTACCAAAATCCCAGAAACTTATTAAGTGTTACACCAGCAGTTCCAATTTTAAACAACATTTCATCAAATTGAAGCTGCAGTTCCTTTATTTAAGAGTGTTTTTTGTGCTATATTTGAAGCAAAGAATTCGTAGCTGTTGCAAGTTATTTTGACCTCACAAACGTAAAGTGCTCAAAGCATCATTGGTTACTGCTTTATCTTTGATGCTAAGAATTTTTTCTATAGTAGATATATGCCACATTTTTTTTTTTTATTAATTTCAACATAATATAAAGTTTAACATTGTGCATATTTTATTAGACTTTTTTTTTTTTTTTGATTTTTTTTCAACAGTACATTAAACAATTGGCTTGAATTACGAAGCCCTACTGCATTGTCATAACAACAGACTGATTTGACTGATAAGGGATTATAAAAAATATGTTTATACTAGAAGCGTGGACAATCAATACATCCTCTGCAAATCTACTCCAATGAATAGTTAACGCAGACTATTTTTACGATGCTTCATTTAATAAATATTGAAATAATTCACGAGGTTATAATCAATCACGTGTTTACATAATGTTAGACGCGAGATCAACATGAAAGTGAGCCGTAAAAAAAACATGCTATACGTTTACGCATAGGCGATTTGAAAAAAACTTACAGAACTTACATGGAACGGAGCTTAAATTGAACAACTACATTTTCGTAATAGTATGGGGAAACGCACCCGAGATGTCAAAACATAATGTCGTAAGTTGATCGGCGATTCTCTGGCATAGGAATTTGGCTAAACTTTTTGTTAACGGTTACCTATTTAATAATACTTTTCATATAAACTCACATAACAACACATTATGTATCTTTTATTAATGTTTGACATAAATAAATTTGTTGACCGTCATTTGTCTTAGAGTTCCGTGTATAATAAATAAGAGAAATAATCCAAGATGGCGATCTCCCAGAATCGTCGATCTTTTCCTGAAAAAAACTTGAAATTTTCTATACCTGTGTATTTTACGCACCCCCCACTTTGTGTATTAAATTTCTGAAAAAAAAGTGCGCAAATTACATGGGTTTTTACGGTAAGCTTTTCAAAGCTAAAACTGATAGACCAGTTTGCAGACATCTAGCCTCATAAATATATAGTTTAATGATAAGTACTAAATTATCAGCATTGTTTTTTCTATCATAGAAACCAAAGATAAAAGATTCTTTATTAAAAGCAAATGGAATTAATAACACATCTAGCAATGATTCAAAATCTGTTAAAAACACTTGTACTTCTTTACATTCCCATAATGCATGAACTATAGTTTCTGTGTCAGTTTTACAATGAAAACAATATGGACTATTAACAAGACCTATTTTATAAAGATATGAATTAGTAGTTAAAATCTGTTGATTGATTCTAAATTGAAGCCACTGTAGTTTTGTGTTTTTACTAATTTTGAAGGGAATGGTATAGATTTTCTTCCATATCTCTGTGTTAAATTCAAATATTTCCTCCCACTTCTTTCTACCGGTAGATATTGTATTATTTTGGCATAGAACATGGTAAAAGTCTTTAGTTCCTTTTTTGTGTTTAAGAAAAATTTCCAAATTAATTGGGATATATGGATAATCTACATTCAAATTAGAAACATCCTCATGTGAAATGGATTTCTTTATGGAATTAATGACACCTTGATAAGTGAGAAAATTTGTATGAATATCAAATTTCTCTGAAAACTCTTGATGGCTGTAAAACAATTTATTTCTTCTTTCTTTAATTAAGTCATAAATTATTGTTACCCCTTTCCTATACCATTCCCTATAAAATATACTCTTGTTTTGTATTTTTATTGATTTATTACACCAAATGGGTGATTTGAGAATATTTACCTTTTTATTTCCAAAATTTACAACTTTTTCAGCTAGCTTGCACCAACTTGATAGCACATCTTTCCAAAATAAATTTTTACAACTCTTCTGGCATTTTAGCATATAATCAGTACCACAATTAGCTACAATATTTCTATTTCCATATAACTTTAAAAAAAATATGCCACTTTCCTTCTGTTGTATTAGACTTAATAAAATCTTAAAGTTTTGAAATTATATTTAATATCATTCTGAGAAGGATAAAAAAAATTGTAGAATATCACACCTACCTTTTGCTTGTCTAGTAAGTCCCTGTGCTTCTTTTCAGCAGCAGCCTTCAATTGCAAGTGTAAACAAACTTCAGGTTATCAAAAAATGACATGAGTTTGATACACATTTACAATAAAATATGTCAAAACCAAACACCTCATCAGCCACCAGTATTTCTATACTCCGACTAACTATAAACAGCTTTCCAGAATACACAAGTTTAATTCATGTAGAAACATAGCTGATAACAGATGTGTATCTCGGATTTACATCTACGAAATACAGATTTTGGGATTATGCTGTATATGGGTTTTCAATAGACAAGTTCTAAATAAATGTAAATTCCTCAAAATTGAAAGTAACTTGAAAATAAAAAAGTTAAATTTCCAACAAATTTTCGTAGAAAAGATCAAAATTGAGTAGAGCAACAACTAGATATGGAAAATCTTGTGAACATGTATGATATGGTCGTCAGTATTATATAGAAAGTAAAACCTACCTTGCTTTCTTCCATTCTCCGTTTCTTTTCTTTCAAGATCATATCTTCTTTCTTCTTCTTTATATCCTTAAAGTTACAAACACAGTAAATACTTGGACCAATAGTTATCTGTATATCCTGTTCATCCATAATGCTTATAGACACTATTCAGACTTCTACCATTTCAATGCCCAAATTGGTACACGTTATTTTTATGTTCACAGGTTCAAAAATTATAATCAGCAGTTATTAGTTGCTCTTAAGTTTGGTTTTGGTTTGTTTGTGATTTATGTCCTATTAACAGCTATGTTCATTTAAGGACGTGCCAGGTTTTGGTGGTGGAGAAAAGCCGGAGTTCCCGGAGAAAAAAAACACCGACCTACAGCCAGTACCTGGTGACTGCCCCACATAGGCCTCGAACCTGCGACCCTGTGATGGAGAGCTAGTGGTAACAGAATGTCAGATGCCTTAACCACTTGGCCATCGCAGCCTCTAAACTGTTAAGGATGTTCTTGTTCATCATTATTATAATTATTTAATTGCTTTTTATTTTCTCCTTGAATAGTGTTTCAAGGATGTGTGAGAAAAACAAAATTTCTTCTCTGATATTTGTGAGAGCTGAATAATCTCAATCTTATGGTGATATTTTGCACTTGTGTCCAAGATGAGGCTTATTCTGGTCCGTGATTCATTGAAACAAATATTAATCCTCTCCCTTTTTTTTTTGAGATAATGAAGTTTTTAACAGCTGCTTTTAATTAAGACATTACATTAATGTTGTGATGTATCAGGGACATCTATTGATATCACCTACTGGATGAGTTTTATATATAGAAGTAAGTTCACGTAGACTCAATAATACATTACTGAGATTGGTTACATGATTAAGCGAAATGCATTACCTCTGAAATACAGTACATCATATGGACCCCTGTATATATAATATGCCCCCGATTCTTTTTTCACAATATTTTCTAATCTCTTTGTCATTGATTGCACACACACACAGTAATCAATGGTCAACGATGCGGTCAGTGTAAATTCTGCCTTTGGCTTACCTTCATGTAGCCTAGTCCCTAGGGGATTTTGGCTTTAGATATCAGATATATCATAACCAATTATATTTCTATTTTTCTTTTAATGTAAGTGTTCCATGCTCTCTGTGTCTTGATAAAGGAGCAGATCACTCTGAAAATTGGACAATCATGCTGTCTACACTGTTGGAATTACTTACTTGCCCCATATACCAATTTTTACTAATGAGTATCCTGCACACATACATTTGTAAGGATCCAGTGTTATAAGGTATTTCATGGTTGGTATTACTCTAATATATACCCAGATATAAATGGAAGGCAAACAAATAAATCTAAGCAAATTATAGGAATATTGAGGATATTTTTATTTGTACAACTTTGAAAGTTAACCTTGCAACCTACCATTTAAAACCCCTTTAAAACAATCTTTCGTATTATATGTGTTAATGCATTTATAGCAAGATCTCAGATGTTTGAAAAAAAACATCAGGACAACTGCAAACCCGCACAGTATGAACCATTTTCAAATATTAGCAAAGCACATTACCAGAATTAACAGGTACCATTCATGATCAGAAGCTAAAACAACATTAAAGGATAAGTTTTTTTGTTCAATTTGTGAAGGATTGCTTAGTTGGTGTGAGATGTAGCCTTATACCAGAACGTACTAAGTAACCTTTGTCCCCCGGGTAGCCTCTCACCTGGCCGGCACTGTTTGGGCGCCCAGCACTGCCCGGACGACCGGCACTCCCAGCACTGCCTGGACGTTTCTTTATGTCGACGGACCCCCTAGCGTAACACAATGTAAGAATTAACCCTTCATTTCATCAACACATGTTTCTGTTAAAATCAAACAATATATATCTGACAAGAGAATTAATGTCAAATGTAAAATCAGGGGTTTTTTCACAGACAGAAATAAAAAATATATATATATATATCAACACAAGAACATTAAAACACATTTATGACAAATTTTGAAATGTTAATTTGTTAGAGTCTGAAAACAATTGCAAACTGAATGCATCTGCATAGTGGATATTTATGAAGTTTGCAATTTTGTTTTCATAAAAGCATATAATCATTCAGAGTTGAATTCTGTGAAAATAAAACATGACCTGAAAGTTATTTGACTGCTTTAAATAATGGCACTTAGTTATGTCCAACAAATATGGAGCTTGATTTTCCTTTTCATGGAGATGTAAAAAAAAAAAAAAAAAAAAAAAGACCAATTGGACTTGAATAATTACCATAAAAACGAAGAAAATGTCATTATTCCATAATACCTTGAAGGAGAATGGCAGGTTTCATCTAAATTATTATCATATTCTATTTTCACCTCTGGATATGGTATAAAAGGGAGGTTTTTTTTTATTTGATTGGCTAATAGATACCGATAATACCTAAGCTCCAATGACCTGTTCTCCTTAAAACTTATTGAGAGTGATTATAAAAATTGTTAAACCTAAAGAGTTTAAATACAATCATTTGGCTATATATAGTTACAAATAGATATCAGGAAGAGATAAATAATATAATATATACATTGTATTGTTATAAGATATGGATATAGAGGCAACCCAATGTCTGCGACCATTACATTTCCAATTCAATTCCTAGCAAATTTTATTTACACTTCTCTACATGGTTTTAAAGCCAGGAATTTATTTTTTTCAGTTTGGCTATATAGATAATACACAAACACGTTATAAGATATGGATATAGAGGCAACCCAATGTCTGCGACCATTACATTTCCAATTCAATTCCTAGCAAATTTTATTTACACTTCTCTACATGGTTTTAAAGCCAGGAATTTATTTTTTTCAGTTTGGCTATATAGATAATACACAAACACGTTATAAGATATGGATATAGAGGCAACCCAATGTCTGCGACCATTACATTTCCAATTCAATTCCTAGCAAATTTTATTTACACTTCTCTACATGGTTTTAAAGCCAGGAATTTATTTTTTTCAGTTTGGCTATATAGATAATACACAAACACCACTAACCTGTTTTCCTTAGACCTCCTGGGTGCCCCCACTGGAGCCCCGTACACACTTGCAGGGTTGTAGCGACTTGGAGGCTGAACTGCGGCTTTCCTCACACCCCCTGCTGCTCACAAAACAACAGGTTCACATTGACAAGTTGCAGCATACAATTTTATCATTTTCAGATAAAATAATCACTTAATTGTAAGTCAATATGCCTGTTTCCAAAACAATCATATTGTAATCATATTAATTTTGTACTTCCTTTACAATTTGTTAACATTTTGAGAAAAACCAAAGTTCTGAACTAACAGATTAATTCAAAAATATACAGAGTGATCTTAAAAACAATAGTTTAATTATGTTGTTGTGTTTTCTAAAAATATTTTCATTCTTTTTAAAGAAAAAAAAACGACTTTTGGTTCAATAAAGTTTTGAGAACTTGACTTTATATATTGTTACATGCTCACCGGAGGGGGGTCTGGAGGAGTTAGGAGGAGGAGGCAACTTCCTTGCTATCTTTTTACCGTGCATCACTGTATGACTGAACTCTTCTTGGATTTGCTTCAAGATGATTCAAATAAGATAATGTCTTATTCATACATACAAAATTAACAAATTAAATGATATCTGTTATGAAAGTAGATTGGTGGACAAGGGAATTAAAATGAGGATAGAAAATAATTAATTTTGGATACAAGTAAGAAGTAAATCAAAGTTTTTTGTAGTCTCAGTATTTTAGTCATTGAAATGTTAATAAACCATTAATGAATCATGATTAAACCTAATATAAATTTAAACTAAGATTTAATATCATGATTCAACCATGCTTCACCTATAAATAACTGCTAAAAAATGTCAAGAGTTTTATGCCTTACTTAAGATAAATCAGACATGTACATTCTTGTATTCTATTGTAATATATGAAATGGAATTTGTTAAACAGTTAGTAAATATAATGAGTTAATACTTACATCTTCTGAGAGAAACTTGCTCACCCTCTTTGTTATAAAGTTTGTTTTCAATATAGAGTTGACTGAAGGTCTGTCCCTGTGAATAAAATATCCATACATTGATACAAATATATTATATCACTTCTTTCTTTCTCAAAACAAGATATTACAGTGATATTCTGTGGGTAGTCATCACATACAAATATGATATTATTTTTTGCCTGGGATATCCCTATGACCATTGGTGCTATAAAAATTAATCTTACCCATAAGTTTGGATCACTGTATTGTGACCTTACTAAGCAATAGAGCGGCAATTCTGACGACAGAATATGAGAAAAACAGTGTTTGTCACTCCTAATGGCACTGATATTCCTTGTGCATTTTAAAATCTTTGTTTTTCACTTTAACAGTAGGTAATGAAATAAAATCTATCCTTGAGGATGAAATATAGATAGGTGATTCGAACCCTTCACATAAACACAGATTTTTTTTGATTTTTTTTAGTATTTCACTTTTCCAGTTTGAATCATCTTAATGATCTATACACTATGAACCTCATCTCAGGCAAAGATGCTATTAACTTGCATTACTTTTGTGAATGGATGATTAACTGAAACCAATTGTCAAATATTACTGCAAATCTTTTATATTTCTATAACTTTTTATATATTAAGAAGCTGTACTAAATGCAAGGAAAAGCAAGTTACATAATATATACAAGTACCAGTACCTTGAAAGATTTCAATATTTTACAGGTTGTATTTACATACCTGGGAGTTCGCTTGAAGAGTTTGGCTATCAGCCCTCGCAGCTCATAGCTGTACTTTGGTGGGATAGGTGGGTAGGAACCTCTGATAACAAATAAAAGTTCATGTTGACGTAACATTTTGAATAAAATAAAACCCTAATCTCATTCTCCCTATCTCCCTGACAATCAAAATAATGGAAATTCAGCTTTCAGTCATTTTGTTTCGCCTTTCTTCAAATGAAATCTTTACAATGTATAATTACATAGTTGTACAATGTTTTTAGGAAAAGCATGCTACCAATGAAATTATGTGTCCCTGATGTTGGTATCAAACCAGTTAATTCTAAACACATGAAAATATAAGATTGTGCAGTTAAGAAATTCTAATTATTAAATAATAATTTATTTTTTTATTTTTGTAGAAATTAAATATTCTGAGATATTAAACTAATACATACCTGATTATCTTTAATACTAAATTCTTCATGTTTCCAGCTTCGTACTACAACATATAATAGGTACCATGAATTTAACAGGGTCTGAAGTAAAATCTTTATATTTATTGTATATATATGCAGTAATAAAAGCAGATTTATTTTTCTATACCCTCTTTGTCTAGCTTTATTTCACAAGATTATTCAATCAGAAGTTACAGCCTAGCTAGGCAACTGGATGGATGGACATTGTGCAAACCGTATGATCTTCCCACTTTCATTGTTACAAGACTAACAAGCAAGAAAATTTTGCTAATAATTCTTCCAAAAGCGATACACTTTAATATATAATCTTAATACCCTTGATAACATTTACCAGAGATTTGATAAAAAACAAGAAGCCCAATGGGCCTGAATCGCTCACCTGGTTTTAATCTCACACTTGCAATCTTAAAAGTGGACTAAAATATGACTACAGACAGAATATCAGTGTTTGATTCATAAAAACTTATTAAAAGATTTAAACATATGATGCCTGTGACCTTGAATGTTGAACAAGGACATTAGGTTGAAGAGAGTTTATAGTCTTCAAACCCAGCATGCTTCTAGCAAAATATCATTACCCTGGACCTTTTGGTTATACAGAACAAATCATTTAAAGATTTAAACATATATTGACAACTGTAACCTTGAGTATGGGCCAAGGTCATTCATTTGAAAAACTTGGTAGCCATTCATACCAGCATGTTAATGGCCAAATATCATCACCCTTGGCCTATTGCTTATTAAGAAGAAGTCATTCAAAGGTTTTAAACATATTTGACCCCTGTGACCTTGAATATAAGTCAAGGTCATTTATTTGAACAAACTTGCTAGCCCTTCATCCCAGCATGTTACTGGCCAAATATCATCACCCTAGGCCTTTTGGTTATTCAGAAGAATTTGTTTCAAGTTTTTAACATAGTTGACCCATGTGACCTTGAAAATAAGTGAAGGTCATTTATTTGAACAAATTTGGTAGCCCTTCATTCCAGTTTGCTTCTGGCCAAATATCATCACCCTAGGCCTCTTGGTTATTAAGAAGAAGTTGTTTAAAGTAAAATATGTTACTGGCCCTATGGGCCAGGGGAGCTAAAAATAATCAACTGAAAGATATTCAAATATTTGTATTCACAATTGTTTGAAAATTTCATAAAATTAAATCATGGAATCTTTTTGTTCAATACTTACAGCATGTTTCAGGGTTGTCATCTCATACAGTACACAGCCCAGTGACCAGATATCACTGAAAAGGTAGGGAATACAAAGTTAGCTAACCATATCCAGGATGAATAATTTCTTAAAAGAGGCTCTATTAATTAAATCTAAATTTGTTGTCTTTTTTCGGAATGAGAGAAAAACAACTGTTCCCAACTTAAATTGAGGATGAGACAGAAAATCTCAATTCTTGAGGTAAGATTTTCAGGATGCACAAGTTTAAGGAATTTCACCGAATAGTAGAGGTTGACGTTCAGAAAATAATCCTTTAAATTGTACACATCATGGAAAAATTGAATCGTTGATCTTGTAATGATTATATGACATTTGAACCGCAATTTAATTAGTACTGGTGTTGTATTTTTTGAAGAAGATACTTCACCAACTAAATCTTGGCTGATCGTAAATGAGATAAACATTTCTGTTTGAAATCCTGATTTGAGAATCTGGTAGATCGGGTACTGGGTACCTTTTGTTGTTGTATGGACGGTTTTCACAGATCTCTGGAGATAGGTAGTAAGGCGTTCCTATACAAGTCCTCGCTAACTCCACCGTACTGAAGAAGAAAAAAAATACAATTTGTTTTACTTTTGTTTACTTTGGGTCACCATTTACCTGGGCCGTTTTCGTTTAAACGGTTAAGCGGGTTGGACCAAAGTTGTTCATTTATTAAATAAGGTCGGACCTAGCAATCTGATGCTGCTTTCAGGCGAGCCTTGACAAAGCCTTGCAAGGCCTGCATAAACATTTGCAGTTCCGCCAGGATTTATACCCGAAATTGTTATATTTAAAGATTGCCAAACCTGTTGTTCTGCATAAACGAACATGCCCCTGGTGATCGTTTCTAAGGAAAGTTGGTAGGATTGATTATAAGGACTGTCTTTTTCATAAAAAAAGTTTTCTATTCAAAAAATGAGATGTAAACAAAGAAAGACTGTGAAGCCAATTATGAATTTATTTTGTTATGTATGTATACACTTTACATCTTAGGGTATCTTAATTAACAGCATAACTGTTTTTAGGACATGTACATCTTTTTATGTTTGAATAAAAACTGATTTGTTGATACCGGTATATTATAAGTTATATCTACCTGTTCAAAACTTTTGCAATTCCAAAATCTCCTAGTTTGACCATCCCTTCAGCTGTCAAAAATATATTCTGAAACGAAAGAAACATTTCTGTTATCAGCAACTGGCATAATATTTATTTTACATTCATCAATATGTATTTGATTTTATAGATTGATTGGTAAATATTGGGATATTTCTGATAAATTTGAAAATGTTTGTGTACCTACAGTGCTCAAATTGAGAGTGACTGGACTTTAAGATGGTAGAACATGAATCTGTATGACAATGGTATAACAGTTGACATGAATCCGTATGACAATGGTATAACAGTTGACATGAATCTGAATGACAATGGTATAACAGTTGACATGAATCTGTATGATAATGGTATAACAGTTGACATGAATCTGTATGACAATTTTATAACAGTTGACATAAATCTGAATGACAATTGTATAACAGTTGACATGAATCTGTATGATAATGGTATAACAGTTGACATGAATCTGTATGACAATTGTATAACAGTTGACATGAATCTGTATGACAATTGTATAACAGTTGACATGAATCTGAATGACAATTGTATAACAGTTGACATGAATCTGTATGACAATGGTATAACAGTTGACATGAATCTGTATGACAATGGTATGACAGTTGACATGAATCTGTATGACAATGGTATGACAGTTGACATGAATCTGTATGACAATTTGATGGTTTGGTGGTTCTGTGATAGCTCACTCGCCTTTCATCAATAAAGGAGATTATGATGATTATACAATGACAGATAGAACTTGTTCATAGCTGTTGTAAAATAAATAAAGTTTAGATATAAAGACGAATGTCATAAATGTACTACACATTGCTTTTTTTAAGATACATTGTATTTGACTTGAAAGTAAACAAGCTATCTTAGGCTATAGTCATGTAGGGTAGCCCCGGTATACCCTATTGTGCGATTTGCAGCAGTTTACTGTGATTATCCTGTAAACAATGGAGTTTTCCTGGCGATGGAAGATCTATAAAAACATATTTATGACAGTATAGTCACGATCTTCCAAAGCAAATCTAAACCTGATTACTATACCATTTGTATGTATTTTAATTTGGGTATTCAACACCTGTTTACCAAAAGTTTTGTCATGTCTCAACAGTCTTGACATAATATGAGTTATCTGTGTGTACTTGTTCTGTGTACAAACCTGAGACTTGATGTCCCGATGAAGGATCTTCCTATCGTGAATGTGTTTGATGGCTAGACACATCTGTACAAACATATCCAGCACCTGTATAACAGAAAACAGAAGCAAACATGTAAACCTATGGGTTGAACATGGTACAGGTACTGCAGAGGCAAATTAACATGTATATCAATGGGTTGGACAGGTAATGTAGAGGCAAAATAACATGTACATCAATGGGTTTAGTAGGTAATGTAGAGACAAATCATCATGTCCATTAATGGGTTGAATAGGTACTGTAGCAGCAAATTAACATATAAATTAATGGGTTGAACAGGTACTGTAGAGACAAGTTAACGTGGACATGAAGGAGTTAGAATGAAAGTGTCAATGACTAATATAGTTTAACCTGCGTTAACAGACCCACAATGAAATCACTAAAATAGGGAATATTAAAAGTAGTCAACATAGGTGGTCTCTTTAATGAAAGTCGCTGCATTAGTAGATAATAAGATTTGACTGTATATCTAGTTAATAAACCAATCATTTAAATGACATCATGTGTATAGCGACAATACACATGAAAAAACAGTCAAGTTGTTTACCAACAACTGCATGCTCTTATAACTAGTATCTGTGCATTGATGTTAAGATATCTTTTAAGAGCTTTTAAACCAGTTTTCCAGGTACAAATCAAACATGAGCTTGTAGCCAATCAATATTAAGAATAGGTATAATGGCTTCAAAGATTATCTGAGATTTTATTGACACAGTTGGTTGTGACATCAGTAATGCCAACCAGCAGTTCAACCCTTATGTGTATGGTGTGCAAGATTGGTGTATTTGAAATCAGACAAACATATAGAGAACAGCAGGAAAGAGATCTATAGGCAGTGGCCACTGTTCTTTGAAAACTTCAAATTATAAAAGGTTACCTGGTCTTCTGGTATAAGAATTCCTCTCTGTGAATTTATCTTGGAGTAAAGGTCACCTGTAAAACCAGAATTAAAGATGTTACACAAATCACACAGTTATGCTAATTATATTATAATTCCATCATATCTAATCACTAAATGTGTCATTTAACAGATGAAATTATTTAAAAGCAATGCGACATGAATTGAATTTTTGTATTATATATTTTTTATACTCTAGGCCTACTAGTTGGCAACACATTCAAAAGATTATAAGTTAGATTTACTGATTTTTTAAAAAATATTACACCAAAGTACATACCTTTCTCACAGAAATCCATGACAATATACAGCAATCCTCGTTCTGAAATGGAATCAAACAAACCATTAATTATCAAAATTTATACTTAGTCAATACAAATTTCACATGCACTACAAACTTTTTATTCCAACAGGAAGTGATCTCCCTACAGGAACAGAGCAGTTATATTTTTGAGGGATACATCATAGCTATAAGATGCAGCTATGAAATATAATAAAAGAAAGTTATCAAGAGTATTACTCTGAATATATATGGCAGGGGAGTTTTAGTGGTGTATACATGTATTTGTATCAACCCTCTGGGATTTAGCTAACATGCACTGGGACCTTTAAAGAGCCAATCAAAAATTTCGAATCAATTTTCCAGTTGTTCTTTCAAATTATTTACAGTGTGAAAAATAACAAATTATTCAATAAAATTTATACAATGGTTAATAACATTTTAAACAAAATGAATTCCTAAAATTCATCAGGTGTATTTAATCTGACGACATTTATCAGACTAAATTATAAAGGACTTATTTTGTACACTACATCTGTTATATGCTATCGTAAAGAAAGATCTAGACTGCAGTACCTTCAAACGATTCCTGATAGGTGACTATGTTAGGATGATGGAGTTGAGCCAATACAGCCACCTAAAACAAACAAATCAAATTATGATAAATTAAGCAATGCAACCAGTTCAAACTCTATATGCTTTCACGAACAATGAACACATATAGTAAACATTGATGATCTAATTCACAAGCATGCAAACTTTAGTTTGACAAATTTGTAAATGGTATATTAAGCTAATAGATAATAAATCAAAAAGCTGTTACCTCTTTTCTTGCCTCTTCTCTTTCCTTTGAGTTCATCTGTAAAAAATAATTCTTAGTTACCTTTAAAAATCTTATATGTATGCCGTCTTGCATCTGTCATTATTTCCAAAGGTATACTGTAAGTTTAAATAGACAATACATCCTAATTACCATCCATTTCCCCTTTTGTGCATCTTCAATTTCCAGGGGTTACGCTCACTTTCACTCTCTACACCCCTGGAATATGTCATGGCAAAATTGAAGGCTCAATGTGCAGCACCTTGTGGACGAGACGAGAAGACTAGTTCGATCCTTTGATGTACATCAAAAGAATCTCGCGGTCACGTAATGGTAAACATTGACAGGCTTTCAAGTCGGGCGTCTCTCCTTTGTAATCTTCAAAGGATCAGCCGAGCGATTGGTCAGGTTGTTTTTTTACCCGAGACCAATCAAACAGCTATCTTCGTGCCTTCAATTTTGCCATGACATATTGCAGGGGTGTAGAGAGCGAAAGTAAGCGTAACCCCTGGATATTGAAGATGGTTTATATAAATATGGCAATCAAAAATCATGTGATGTGGATAAAATCTTCAAAGTCTGACACTGCAGAAATACTAAAATGAGAATATGGGTTGCATTGATGTTATTTTAACAGCTTATAAAGTTGAAATTAATTTACCAATGTTATCGTTGCAGGTATCATAAATTTCGTTCATTTTCAAATTTAACGTCGTCTTTTTGCATTACGGAATTAATGAAAAATGGAGGCTTTTTGAAAATCAGTTCAACCACGATGTCCGCATTTTAATAGTTCATATACATAAACTAGCTATTAACAACACAGTAGTTCAAAATTTTACCTTTGAAATATTAATCTCTTTGATAACCCTTTGCTTGTTGTTCGGCTTTTGTCGAACAAGAATCGCCTTACCAAAGGCACCCTCGCCTATTTGTCTTACTTTAACGTACTTATCCATCCTATGTTAATATTTGCGCCTTGAAAGTATCGGACTTAATGGCCAATGTAGCCAAAAACACGAGAAATTTCTTTTGGCATTGAGGAACCAAAAAGTGAAAATAAAAAAATAAACCATTAACAGCCAGATATTAGGTTCTTCCAATTTCTGTAAGATAAATCTTGGAATTGTATTAACATGTCCATATTACGGTTGCATAAATTCTATCTTAATTCAATTTGATATCGAGCTCTTTTCTTTCGGAAAGGAAAAACTCTCAAGAAAAAGTGGAATGCCTTTCCGGATGTATACGTCGGCCATGTTTGGTTTCAAGGTAGATACATTTTTCAAAATGATTAAAAACGAAATAAGTAAGACTATAAATAGGCACAGATAATTAAATATGCAAAATACATAAAAAATAAAAATATTTTTAAAAGAAACATAAATTGTTTTTTAAGTAGTATTGACATTATTTATAATAAAATACTTTTATCTGTATTATTCCGCTAATTATTTTAAGGATTCTTAATATTTACAAGATGGCGTCTAAAGGGGCTTTTGCGTTCGGTCGACAGCTAAAAGAACTAAGAATTCACTTATGTCAAACTTCCCGGACCAGCCAAGGTGTAAGGTAAGCAAGAAAGACACAGTTGAGGTGAAACTTTACGAGAACCAATCCTGTCACACATTCTGATTTAGTGGTTATGTATGACCTTCAGTGGTCATTGCGTCGGCTTCACCATTTACCAAAAACTGATTTATTGAATAATTCATATAACTTGTTTTGTGATAGAACCCATCCATGGTACTCCATGGATTCCGCTCACTTTCGCTCTCTGCACCCCTGGAATATGTCATAGCAAAATTGAAGGCTCAATGGGCGCCACCGTGTTGATGAGACAATAAAGACTAGATTGGTGTGATCCTTTGATGGTACATTGTACATCAAAATAATCTCGCGGTCGCATAACGGTAAAATTGAATGGCTTTGAAGTACAGCCTAGCGATTGGTCATTTTTATTCACTAGCTATCTTTTTGCCTTAAATTTTGCTATGACATATTTCTGAAGGGTTGCAGAGAGGTGAAGTGAGCGAAGCCCCTGTAGTATCGAGGATGGCTGGATCATGATTGAATGGTATCAGTGCATCGTGTTGAAAAAGTTCAAAGTCATGTGGTGAAGAGCTTTCCATAAAACAGATACCTTTCAAAGTTTCGTCTAAGGAACTGTTTCCGTTGTACACCTGTGTAACTGGAGAGGAAAAATGCACATCCACACCTTGGGTCGAACCTGGGACCTAACAAACTCTAGATGAAAGCTCTGCCAATTGAGCTACGTGGCCGCTGATAACTAAACCTGTGCCCTGACCTATTGCACACATGGGCTGCTTTCATTTATTGTGATCCAAACGGTCGAACCGGTTGGGCCAGAGTTGTTTGTTTATGAAATAAGGGCAGACCTAGTACATTAGATGCTGTTTTCAGGCAAGCCATGACAAAGCTTAGTACAAATATCAATACCCGGCCTCCTCATGCTTCTGTCGGGTATTAAATCGATCCCATGCCTTGTAATGATTCTGGGTTGTTATGCCCAAAATCCTGTTCGCCCTATATAGGTTGTTACGCTTAGGGCGAAACATTGTTTGATATTTTCTTTCAATTTTAGTAGTATTAATTCACAAATTAAATCTTCTTAGTCTTCCATTAAATTAAAATAAATTTGATAAAAAGAAATGTGTTTGTGTTATTTTTTAGCGAGTGTGATAAAGGGCAGCTGTGAAAAGCTGACTTCACACAGTTGCATATTTTTCTACATGAAATATATCTAACAACAATATAGAAAGTTATCAATAAAAAAATAGTTTAGGGCGAAACAACCTCGGGCGAACAGGGTTTGGGGCAAAACAACCCTTAGTGCGAACATGATTTATGGAGAAACAACCCGTTACCCCTTGTAAGCCCGGTGTGAATCAACACACTAGGGCGATTTTAGAATTAATTGACAGCACATTGGTCAGCATCCATGAATTGGTTTGAAATATGAACTTTGTCTGTTGATTTCCTAATATTTAACTTGAAGTTAAACTCAGCCTAAAATGTCATTAAATTATCAAGTTAACATGTCAAATTCTGAATTGATCTGCATGTTGGAAACTTCGTCTCACTTCGGATAGAAGTCAAGACGTCTATATATATGGGTGTTATGACCCAATATGGAAATTGTAGAAAACATGACAGCATTAGTAGTAATACTATATTTGGTCATGCAGGCCGTATACCGTAAAAACCTGTGTAATTTGCGCACCTATGGGGAAAACGCGCGGAGATGTCGAAACCTAAGTTGATCAGCGATTTCTCTGGCATAGGAATTGGCTAATCTTTATTTGTTAACAGTTACCTATTAAATAAAACTTTGAGATAACATCACACTTGATCTGTGGTCATATCTATTTGTTTCCCCAAGATTGACTTGGCTAATTTCATTGGGGTACATAGGTCTCCTGGTCCTGGTGATCAACTACTGTTGCTATCTGTGTGTTTACCCCCTAGAAACAGCTTGAAGTGAATGATGAGTAATGACAGAACTGACTTCTTCCTCTCCCTCATCATCAATTGCTTTTAGAGAGTCAGGTCTGTGCTGAGGTTAACAGTTAGGTCATGCAATCATCTCAGAGGCTATTGGGGGTGGGGTGAGGGCTTAGTTCCCATTACCCTAGCAAAGTAGAGAAATTACAGTCTATGTACCGTGTGTCAGCGCATGCAGGAAATCATCATATAGGTAGTATGGCATGCATAGACATTGCTTTTAACTAGGATCAGTGGGAAGCAAGGAATACATGGTTTACTGGTAGTACCATTAGAAGAAATTAGAAGAATAACTAGTAGAACAGCAGACTAGTAAATTATAATAAATGTGTATATTCCATGGTTTGACTCCTAGCTAAGAAGACTCTTGAGATTGGATAAGGACCTATTGGCACCCCATAGTAATTACTTACATGGGAACAGTCACACCTTCATGTATGACAGTCTATTTAAACTTGGTATCTCGGACATGGTTATTAATGTACTCAAGAAGACCTGAAGATAATGTCTTCCCATGGATGAATACTCTAGGGAACTTTCATCCTTTCACTCAGTTGGAAGAGTATAGCTGGCTAGTATTCTGAAGTGTTTGCCACTAGCTTTGAAGCCTAGTACAGAGATTGAGGCACTAGAAAATAGGAACCTTTGCTACATTCCTAAAAATATCTTCGAATTCACCTAACCCTTTCACCCCCATGTAACTTTAGTAGACTCTACCATACATTGATCTGGATGAGTCCATTATGGTCTTCAGTGTTGAAAGGGTTTAAAGTCAATATCAAATATTGCATTTTGATGGAATTGACAGTTGAATTAACTCATTCACCCCTGAGGACACATTTTGACTCTTCCAATTCAAAGGTTGGAATAGTTCATTATGAAACTTCAGGGGTGAATGAGTTAACAATGGTTTTTTTTTATCTCTGAGTTAATCCAAAATCTTGTTTCATTTTGAAAAACTACTTTGACCATATATACTGCTATTCACTGGATTTACAATGTGCATTGATTTTGCAATTAGTGGTGAAGTCAAAGAGTATTACTTTATATACCTAATGATTACTTTTGTTCATTCTTTACAGGGATTTCATTTCGAATGGATATGTACCACTGAAGATTGCAAATCCTAAATTTCCTATTCTGATTAGAGAATGCAGTGGTGTACAACCTAGGCTGTATGCTCGTTATGGTAAGATTTTGAAAATGTGTTATCTGTAATTACGTCTTTGTGATGGAAGTAGAAAATGTGTTACCTGTAATTACATCTTTGTGATGGAAGTAGAAAATGTGTTATCTGTAATTACGTCTTTGTGATGGAAGTAGAAAATGTGTTATCTGGAATTACGTCTTTGTGATGGAAGTAGAAAATGTGTTATCTGTAAATACGTCTTTGAGATGGAAGTAGAAAATATGTTATCTGTAATTACGTCTTTGTGATGGAAGTAGAAAATGTGTTATCTGTAATGACGTCTTTGTGATGGAAGTAGAAAATGTGTTATCTGTAAATACGTCTTTGTGATGGAAGTAGAAAATATGTTATCTGTAATGACGTCTTTGTGATGGAAGTAGAAAATGTGTTATCTGTTATTACGTCTTTGTGATGGAAGTAGAAAACACGTGACAAATATACTATACCATAGTAGAACTGATGAGCTGGGATTAAGGACCTTAGTGGTTCAGTCAATTAAAACAGCGGTCAAAGAGTTCAGGAGAGGTCCCAGTTTTAAATCTTCCTGCTACGGCGTACATTTACAATATACATTCTAGATCGACACCCTTGAAAGAATGTGCAGTGTTCTCCCCAGGCTGTTTTTGCAGCATGGCACCATGCTCCTATAAGTTCTTGCCATGCTGCTATCCTAGATCTTCTCTGCTATATATTCATAGTAAATCTAAAGTTACCATGCTGCTTTGATTTTACATAAAGTGCTGCTTTAACAGAAATATTGAAATACCATGCTTCTTTCAAAACATTCTGTGGCTACATTGGACTGGGTCAAAACTATAGTAGATCTATACGTTCTTTTTGGTTCATATTGACTTCATTTTCTAATTTTGAAACTGAAAATATTTTACCGAAAAATCATCAATTTTCGTTTGAATTCAGATAGTGTAAATTGCACATAGTACCTCATTTCTTTGCATGACAAATGGCTAACCATAGTATTTTGTTATTACAGTACTACAGACCATTTAAGAGTATTAGTGATGATCACTGTAACAAATAAGAGAATGTACCAAATACATTGTAATTTTCTTCTCTCATTTATATAAATAATCACACCTTAATCTGAACTCAAAACTTAAAACTCAAAACTCTAGAAAGACAATCAGTAGGTTTCTTTGGGTAATGTTTCACAAAGTTACATACTTACCAACTTTTTAAAATTCATATGGGGAGATTGGGGGGTGTTCAGAATTAAAAACATAAATCAAATGAGTGTATGTACACTCTAGAGAACAAATAACACTTTGAAATGGCATTATTTGAGCTATTAAAATCATCAGATCTTAGAAAATACGAATGGTTTAATTAGCATGTTCACCATTTGAGAATTTTCAATGTTAGGATAAAAGTAATAAGTTGTTATTAACGTATTACATATAAATGTAAACACTTTCATTTTCGTTTGTTCACAGAGCAGGGTGTAGAAGTGAGCAAAGCCTTGTCAGACCTCAACAGTACACAAGTGATGGAAGCCATAAAAACCTTATCTCAAAAAACTGTATGAAACTAAATTCGGTGTACGAGGCCGACAATGTGTGTACTGCCTGGATGTACCCGGCTGTCACGTGTGCGGCCCGCATCAGTTATTGACTTCTAAATTTATTATATTTGACTTTTGACATGTATTGACGGTTTTCATGTAATAAAAATCATAAAGAATGACTATCATTTTGTCTGTTTTGTATCCTTTCCTGAACCTCCACCATATATTACCAATAATAAGCCTGTGCTCAATGATATGCCCATCTCCTAGCTAGATGAATACATTTTAAAGATGTGGATAATGAATGGAAGTTACCGTGTGTGTTCGTATATACAGCTCAATCGTGTGGAAACATACTTGGGGATGTGACGTGAACAAGATGAAATGCATCCAAAGGAAGGGGGCAAGGTTCATCATGTTTTAGAGAGCAGATGCATGGTTCCCCAGTTTTACAGGAATGGTATGGGTTTTGAGCCCCGCACTCAAGAAGAGGAGATGCCAAACAAGACCAAAGTAGAGGAGATGTCAAACAAGACCAAAGTAGAGGAGATGCCAAACAAGACCAAAGTAGAGGAGATGCAAAACAAGACCAAAGTAGAGGAGATGTCAAACAAGATCAAAGTAGAGGAGATGCCAAACAAGACCAAAGTAGAGGAGATGCCAAACAAGACCAAGACTCCTTTAACATGTTCAGATCACAGGGACCTGAGAATTTGTAACAGCTATATTTGGACGGGTATATGATCATTTTACCAAAAGACAATCTAAACCCCTAAAACATGTAAAACTACTCTGAACACCTTAGTTTAGGTCCAAATATAGCTTAACAAATTTTCAGGTCCCTGTGGTTCAGACCCTATTCTAAAAGAACAATAAAATAGATCTAAAAGTATGGGGACTCTCCCTATTGTATGATGATGGTCAGTTGAAATTCACTTTTATAATACAACCTGTTCAGAATTCATACTGTGTGAAAACAATGTCTTACTAAACATGCAGTCTCAATAATGGCATCGAGTGATTGAAGACAGTCTTCAAGTTCAACCAATAGTGAATTTTTCCAGAAACCTAAATCTTCTAACCCCCTGTTCATCAGGAACCTGAGAATTTGTTAAAGTAGGAATGATTAGATTGATCCTGATCAACACTTGGCTACAACTATAAGACCAGGACCGTTTTCATTTAAACAATTGGACCACAGTTGTCCGTTTGATAAATATGTTCGGATTAAGTAATCTGATGCTGCTTTTAGGCAAGGCCTGCATGCATAAACATTTTCAGGTTCGGCCGGGATTTATACCCAATTAAGTGTAACATTTAAAGACAGTCAAACCAGTTGTTCCGCATGAAAGAGCAGGCCCCCGATATACATAATGTAACAAATTATCTGGTCCCTGTGCTCTGTTCTTGATTGAATTAATCATACAATGAATGGGCCAATTTGTCTGCAAAACTTTGGAGTCTATATGTAATGGTTGTGATGTAGCATGTCAACTGTTTATTATAAAATATGCTTCTGTATAAAATATATGGGCAATACGTTCTTTGTGGAATTCACTTTATGTTGAACCATTCAAATGGTGTGTACCTATGTTCCATGCCCTATACTCGATACTTTTTGATAAATTTTATTCAACTTTCATGTTAATGATTCTGATTCGGGGTTAACTTTAATTACTTCAATCTGGATACTCACTCGCTGCTAACTCACCGTTGATGTCATAAAGACTACTATTGACACGTCTACTGGTGTAACTGGTACACACTCCCGGTCTGTACCTCCAGATTTGCGCGGGTGTTCCTTCCATGCACGGTTCAGTCTTGATTTAAGAGAGTTCATTGATGGAGCGTGTGTAATATAATGTATGCGGTATCCCTGTATGTGGAAACGTTCTAAGGTTTGGTACTCACATCTGTTCTAAACCCTGTGGGACCGGACCCTATAGCTAGCTAGTATACTTGATAATATTCAAATATGTTCTATTATAATTTCATGTTCAGTCACGGTCCTGGCTCGGGGACATCTTTTATTTCAATCTTCATTGAATTCAGTGTAGATAATCTAAGTTTTACCTATGTACATGTAGAACCTTAAATGTGTTCTTTCTTCAGAGCCATACTTTGAAAGTCTTTAAGTGCCAACAACTACTGGCATATAATTCAGATCAAAATCCTTGGGAGGAGGCCAGGTGAAAGTTTCTTTTGTGCAAGGTCACATTTGGAGTGATTTTGATTGGATGACTGCTATCAATTCTAGTTCTGCCAAACATACAGGTCTTAAGGGATCTACTGCTCCCTTTTTGACCAGTCCAAGACAGTTGGATTTTTATTGTTTTGTTTTTAAATATTAGTTGACAATAACTGGAGGTACTAGCTGCCATTCAATCGAGTATTGGTCAAACCAGAAAATTACCATCCTCAATACTCCAGGGGTTATGCTCACATTTGCTCCTTGCACCCCTGGAATATGTCATAGCAAAATTAATGAAAGCACAAAGATAGCCGTTTGATTGGTCTCGGGTAAAAAACAAACTGACCAATCGCCAGGCTGATACCAGTACTTTGAAGATTACAAAGGAGTGACACCCGACTTCAAAGCCAGTCAATTGTCAGTTACGTGACTGCGAAATTCTTTTGATGAACATCAAAGGATGGAAATAGTCTTCTTGTCTCGTCCACAAGGTGGTGTACACTGAGCCTTCCATTTCGCTATGACATATTCCAGGGGTGAAGAGAGCGAAAGTGAGGGTAACCCCTAGGAGTGTAGAGGATGCAAAATTACCAACTATATATATGCATGATCATAAGAGTTGACCAAAACAGGACGTGACCTGCTGAGGTTTCCATCAACTCTTTCACCACTGTAGATCATAATGGACTNGGGGGGGAGGGTTAATCTCTCGCATGACTATATATAGTAGCAGTGAAAATGAAGAATCTTGTAAATAAGCAGAACAACAACTTAGATGAATTGATAGACCATTTATTCACATAAAAACAAGACATGATTGCAATTCATTCATATACATAACACATTCAATACATTAATAATTAAATTATAAATAAAGCAACATGATATTGCACTTCACAAATCCTGATCTACCTCTGAAACAAACGAACACAAGATACCTACATGTAACATGCACCAAATCTACCAAAAAAGTACTAGGTAGTTGAAAGCCGTAGCCTTATAAGCTTCAGAGAGTGAAAACACTTTTACTTATCAGATAATGAGAAGCCTTTAATTACACAAACGCAAGACAGTTTGATACAGACTATATTATCACGAGATATAGTTCTAAATCATACATAATGTATTATATGTTGTGAATTTCGATGCAACATTGCATTGACAATATGACGTCTGATCAGGGGAATGTTGATATATATGTTTGCTTAAGAGCAGGGCTAGAATTTGTTTTGAATACCACTAGTCCATTGGGTTAGTCTGCAAATTTTACTAGTCCCTGTACATGTGCTAATACTGCTAATTCGATCAATAATATCTAACAAGAAAAGCAGTATCAAATTCTGACTACCGGTAGTTTTTAGAACCACTAGTCCAGCTGGAGATTTCACTAGTCTCAGACAATTGGGCTACCCTTATTGTCTATCCAAAAATGATGCTTTTAAGTATCTGTCACTTTCTGAGTTATCTAATGTCAGTTGTTTAATCTTAGAGTGTTTAAAGGTAAAATATCTGTTATTCAGAATATGAATAAATGCTTACATGTATGTATTCCGTCTTTGCGTATTGCAGAGTTATCTTCTCTTGGGAGCAGTTATTGATTGTTACGTCATTGGTCTGTGTGAGAAATTTACGTCGTTTTCTCAAAAATTGATGCCGTTTTTCTCACAAACAAGTGACGTAACAATAAATACCTGCTCCCAAGAGAAGATAACTGCAATACGCAAAGACGGAATACCTGGCCATTTAAGAGATTCTACTGATGAAAAGCCAAAGATGATTAAATCTACCTGTACCCTCTAGTGTGATATTTTACATATCATTGTGTTCCTACTCATACCAGATAGTATTTGATTACTGTATAGCAGTTATATTTCGCGGGGGTTTTAATTTCGCTATATTCGCGCTTTGACTAATATCCGCAAATTTTTAACACCAGCGAAATAATCGAAAATATAACACCATTAGTTCAGCACTTTTCCTAATATGATATAGCAATATCATAGAAGCTTTGTAGGACGTCATTAATGTGAAACTCAAGTGTTATTCCCAATATGACTATAGTGAATGTCATATTGTAAAGCGTCATCAACAATAATTTCAGCATCACTCCTAATGTGACTGGGCAATGTCCGAAAAGTATTGTAGGACGTCCCCGACAGTAAACTCCAGGGATATGCCTGAATCAGGGTAACACTTGTTGATGATGTCCTCGTGAGATTTACACTGTCTGATGAACACGTCCTGCATGGCGAGCCACGTGACCTGAAATACGGGGTACATATTTACACATAAATGGCAAACATGTGGTGGGTAAGATCATCAAACGACATAATTCAAACTGAGGTAGAGTAGAAAACTGCATATATATTGGACTATGTGTAGTTTACAAGAAAATCGTAAATATCATCACGAAGTGTAGTATAAAAGAAAACAAAGGTCAAACATACAATGTGTTACAGGTAAGGAATTAATGCTTTCAAATTTGTTGGTTTGTTTGTGTTTTACGTCCTATTATCAGCTATGGTCATTTAAGGACGTGCCAGGTTTTGGTGGTGGAGGAAAGCTGGAGTTCCCGCAGAAAACCACAAACCGACGGCCAGTACCTGGCGACTGCCCCACATAGGTCTCGAACCCGCGACCCAGTGGTGGAACAGCTAGTGGTAGCAGAATGTCATACGCCTTAACCACTTTAAAAATTAAATTAAAGCTACAGATATCACAAACAATGTGTTCTACATTACCAGAGAGTTACAGAACAGATATCATTGATGGGTTATGTTTATGTAACAAATGTTTAAGCAAATGATGACATGCAGGTCTTATAATATAACATGTATTGCTATTGGTGACAAACTTAATATGGCCTGGCTGGGCATGATTAGGGCCCCTTTCTCGTATATACGGTTCAACAGGTTTGTCTGTTTTTAAATGTAACATTTTCGGGTATAAACCCTGGCGGACCTACAAATGTGTATGCAGGCCTTGCAAGGCTTTGTCAAGGCTCGCCTGAAAGTAGCATCAGATTACTAGGTCTGACCTCATTTCATAAACAAACAACTCCAATCGGTTGTCCGCAACAGCAATGAAAGTTAAAGGACCATAACACCATTTGCTAAAACAGTCATTGTTTATATCTAAACATTAATAAAGTAATACTTCATTGAGTTATCTTATTATGCTCCTAATGTCAGCTCTTGAACTTCTTGGAACACTAAAGTCAGTGTTGGCGCAATCATATCAGTGACATCACAATTGTGTTCAGTTTCACAATGCAAAGCAAATGTCAAGGAACTCATATAATATCTGTCGTGTTTGGTATTGACACAAGTAAAATATCCTTTACAACTTACCTGCAGCAAGTTTTCTTCCTCACACAACTGTTTTTCGATTTTTTTATATAAATGTTCGAGGCTCTTTTTCACCTGAATGAGAATACATGATATTTGATATTTAACATCACTATAAATCCAGCACAAACTCTAGGAAACCTTTTAAATCTCAAAAAATGTGTGTCCCTGAACATGATAAATTGTTTCAACGGAAACTTACAGCTAGTACTTAATTTACAGTAAATGCAGTTATGTCTGAATAAACATCTTTGATGTAGTTTATTGAGAATTTTAACTCGAATAAGGCTTTCACTAAAATAAACGAGTAACAACACAAAGGCTCCCCACACACGGCTGTATGTAACCCTCCCCACTCACACATGGAGTTCATACAGTGACCTCACACACAGAACCAACCCAGTGACCAGATTCAATAACATACATGGTTGACATCCTAACAATGATCCAAGACAATGACTCTACACACCTTTACCAAAAGACATCCCATATATGGAAACCACACACCTTGGTAACAAGTGACCCCAAAGATTGACTCCATACACCCTGGCTAGAAGTGTTCAAACACATTGAAATTCACATCGAGTGACATGACCCTAGCCAAAAGCTACATCACACATTGAAACCACACATGCTGGCCACAAGTTACTTCATACAAGAAATGTTCACACTCTGGCTACAAGTTACCCCACTCATGAAACTTCACACCCTGGCCACAAGTTACCCCACACCCTGGCCACAAGTTGCCTCACACAAGAAATTTTCACACTCTGGCCTCTGGCTGCAAGTGATCCAATACACCATTGACTCCACATCCTGACTTCACACAGTGAACAAACATAGCGGCCAATACGATGACACCTGAAAAGTAATACATATCAACTAATGACATTATTAATTAGTATGCTATTACCTCTTTGCCTGGGTACTCTTTGATGACCTTGCGCATCTCCTGTTTACTGAAGGCCAGCTGGTATCCCACCTCCTCCGGCTTCACCCCCGACGCCACCCTGTTTTGTACGCCGTCAAAAAACACCTACAACAAAGTGTACCCATGAAAACTTTTCAAACAAGTCAGGAAAAGTTGCCAAATATCATACTAGTACATACAGAAAAGCTAAATGCAAACACCCGAACTGTAACATATTGGCATTTATATGTATTTACATGCGACTCTTGCTGGTTCTGTATTAACCCATAGCTTCTCTATGGGTCTCTGTGTATTTATCTATAATTTCTCTATGGTCTCTTTTGTGTATTTACCCATAGTTTCTCTGGAAGTCTTTGTTGTAACCTCAACTGTAGTTCCTCTATGGGTCTTTGTTGTAACCTCAACTGTAGTTCCTCTATGGGTCTTTGTTGTAACCTTAACTGTAGTTCCTCTATGGGTCTTTTGTCTTAAACTTAAATGTAGTTCCTCTATGGGTCTTTGTCGTTAACTTACCTGAAGCTTCTCTATGGGTCTTTGTTGTTAACTTACCTGAAGCTTCTCTATGGGTCTTTGTTGTGTAATTAATTTTGTTTCTCTATGGACAGATATGTACTGCATTATGTACTTACCCCATTTTTCTCTATGGGTCTTTGTCGTTTACTTAACTGTAGTTCCACAACAGGTTTCTGCTGTAAACTTACCTGAAGCTTCTCCATGGGGCTTTGTTTGTGTATTGGCCCCTCTATTGTGTGCTTAAGGTTACCCCGTTTTATCTCAATGGGTCTGTGTTGTGAACTTACATGTAGTTTCTGTGTGGGTTGCACATGCTCTGTTGCGGACTTATCTTTGGTTTCTCTACTTGTTGCTGATCAGTGGGTATACTTACATGTAACTTCTCCATGGGCCTACCCAGGAGATGAGTTGTGTATTGGTACAGATTGTCCTGGTACGTCTGTTTGGCCTCTTTCCGGTCATTCTCCAGACAGGGTATCTTCAGAGCTGACAGCACAGCTACAATAACACAAGTATGTAACGCTAGTACATTGTATCTGTGTATAATCAACTAAATGTCAAACAATATAGCTTATTAACAAAGTATTCTAACCTGAAATGAATGTAGCAGATTTTAACATTGAACATACAGTAATAATTTAGGTGTGCTTTCAGAGGATTAACTTTGTGAATAAAGGTAAATAGCCTAATAATTAAAAGTCTAATATGAAGAAAAAGAAATTTCAAATCCACGACAATCAAATACAGTATTATGTCAAATGTTGTATATTCGTAATTTATCAGTTTCGCTTGCTTTTATTATCACTCAAGAGACCAGACACTTCTGTCCAAATGAAGGTTAAATCTGAATTTGAAAACACCTTATACTTACTATTAGATATGTCAGAATTTCATGTACATAATAAAAAAACACTGTAATATGACCATTTTTATCGTTCCTGACACACTGTTTTGCAACAGGCTAATTGGTATGGAATTCATACTGTCTAAGAAGCTTTCTACGATAAACAGTGTAAAACTCTCTGAGACTTTCATCACAATGTACATGTATTCTGAATATATCCATTTTACTGACACACTAAATAATTTCTCCAATCCAGTTATCAAAAAGCAAATTTATAGAATTTATACCACTATTAATGTTAGATTATGCAAAAGTTATCATAAACCATAATACTTACAAAACATGTGGTGGAAGTTTTCTGAAAAAATGAATAATAAAAAACATTTAAATTCAATTGATTTACATACCTCAGGTAATCCAATAATACTCAGTTGGGTTGATCAGTAAATTGAAGATACTTAAAAAAAGCCTAACAAATTGAGGTTGTAAAAATTAATTTTATAAGCAAGGCCTGCATAAACAGATTTATACCTGAAAATGTTACATTTAAAAACAGTCAAACCGGTTGTTCCATATAAACAAACAGGCCCCAGCTGATTGAATCAACATCCTGATAAAACTTATGACAGTTACCTCCCCCTGGGCCTTACAGTACTTACCCATCATGACCACTTCCCGTGGAGTCTTGGGATGCTCTGAAGCGATCCTTGCAATCTGTTCAAATATAACTGCAACAAGTGTGACATATGACTTGTCCAGGTGGGCATGGCGATTCTCTGATCCACGAAATATACTTTCTGCCTGGTTAGCAAAGTCCTGTGCAACGACACAGAAATAGGTTGTAAACAAAACACATCAATAACAATTATCTAACCACTTTTATATACATGTCTGATCTTGGAATGTGGTTTGAATTTCTAGTTTCTACAATAACATGTCCTGTATACCCTGACCTATTTCAAATTTTGCTCGAACCCGCGACCCTTGGCTCTCCAGCCCAATGCTCTACTGCTGAGCTAAGGGAAATTCCCTACAGCTGACGCTTGTAAGGCAACCTAATCAATGCACTTCTTTAACACTATTCCCCCCTTTTTTCTAATACCAACCCAACACCATCCCAGGTTCTTCGACTCCCCATCAAGGGTTCTCCTACCTTGAATGGGGAGGGTCAACGGCACCAGTTTGTAATAGGACGAGGAACAGAGATAAAGATAGTGCCATTGCTGGGGCTCGAACCCGCGACCCTTGGCTCTCCAGCCCGATGCTCTACTGCTGAGCTAAAGGGAAATTCCCTACAGATGATGCTTTTAAGGCAACCTAATCAATGCATGCACTTCTTTTACACAGACAATTATTACAGCAGAATCGGCAGTTTTTACTATGTTTTAAATTCAGAGATTCCTTACTATATTTTTAATCAATCGAGGGCCCATATTCATGAAAACGTTTTCATGCTCAAGTATGGATTTTTTGCTCAAGCCTAAATTCTTGTTCCAGGTGTAAATCAATAATAAAATCTTATTTTGTCAATGATTTGAAAAAAAATTGAGGAGACTTAAAGCCGAATACTGTTTTCTAATATTTAAATGTGACTTTTTGATCGTTTGACATGATTAAAGCAAGTAACAAGAAAGTTGGTTTAACTCATTCACACCTAAAGACACATTTGAACTCTTCCAATTCAAATGTTGGAATAGTTCATTATGAAAGTTCAGGGGGTAAATGAGTTAAGCACAGATCTAGTAGAATCCTTGCTTGAGTATGAGAACGGTTTAATGAATACGATCCCACAGCACATGACCATGAAAGAATGAAGTTGACATTAAAATGTCTTCTGTATTACATGTTAATATGAACCTTACAAAATGTTCCATTAGTGGATCAAATCTCACTCAGGTTAAATTTCTGAAATTCAACATTACTTTATCAATAACTGGAATGAAGATTTAAATTGAGACTGTTCCAGTGACAGCACAACATCTTTGTTTGCCGAATTATTACAGAAGGTATAGCTCTATTTGGAACATAAATAAGGAGCTTTTCATTTTCATCAACATCCGTATAAATTATACAAGGTACTAGGTTACTTGTGATACCTCAAATGTATGAACAAAACTGATGATGCCACATTTGGTCTTCTTGGCCACTCGACACTCTTGGATAGCACGAATCTGGTTTTGCTGGAAGACAAAGTCAATAGATAAAGCATATGCTGGAAACTGTTCACCACATTTAAACTTTCATCTTTTTTGTCCTCTGCAGTGAGGGCAGATCTATATTATCATGATAGGGATATTAGTTAACACTTTACAGTATTCAATAAATAGTAACCAATGCTTGGTGAATGTAGATTTCACCTGTGAAGGAAAAAAGTTAAACAGGGCGAAAGTTTCTGGGGGTAAAGTATAAAGGTATAATTATTGGCATGCAGATGGATGAAAAAGCTGATCTTCAAAAGTTAACTATGTTTAACTCATTCGCCCCTGAAGACACATTTGAACTCTTCCAATTCAAAGGTTGGAATAGTTCATTATGGAATTCCAGGGGTAAATGAGTTATAATGATACTGGTAAACAACTGTGCATGCCTTAACAGTGCATATCACTATTACTTGCATAACAATTAAAACGCTCACCAGCTTGTAAACAGTCACTGTTGACAATCATTCATTTTTCTCAATCAACAATGCCATATAAGGTATATATAATTTTTTAGTTTAATTCAATTTTCAGTTGAAAATTTTTCATATGACATATATATAAAAAAAGATTTTAATTTTTGACAGAATATGACTTACTATGAATCTATCAAAGTTGCGTTTGATCTTTACAAGACAGCTGGCAAATGTGACACTGAGGAAGGAGCCGGTGTTCTGGGCCTTGTTCACGTGCTGACTCATCCGCACCAACATATACATGGAGTTACTGGGGAGAAAAGGTAACACAGATCTCATAAATATATGTGTCCAGGGCCATCCACATCTACATATACATAGAGTTACTGAGGAGAAAGGTAACACAGATCTCATAAATATATGTGTCCAGGGCCATCCGCACCAACATATACATAGAGTTACTGAGGAGAAAAGGTAACACAGATCTCATAAATATATGTGTGTCCAGGGCCATCCGCACCAACATATACATAGAGTTACTGGGGAGAAAAGGTAACACAGATCTCATAAATATATGTGTCCAGGGCCATCCGCACCAACATATACATAGAGTTACTGGGGAGAAAAGGTAACACAGATCTCATAAATATATGTGTCCAGGGCCATCCGCACCAACATATACATAGAGTTACTGGGGAGAAAAGGTAACACAGATCTCATAAATATATGTGTCCAGGGCCATCCGCACCAACATATACATAGAGTTACTGGGGAGAAAAGGTAACACAGATCTCATAAATATATGTGTCCAGGGCCATCCGCACCAACATATACATAGAGTTACTGGGGAGAAAAGGTAACACAGATCTCATAAATATATGTGTCCAGGGCCATCCGCACCAACATATACATAGAGTTACTGGGGAGAAAAGGTAACACAGATCTCATAAATATATGTGTCCAGGGCCATCCGCACCAACATATACATAGAGTTACTGGGGAGAAAAGGTAACACAGATCTCATAAATATATGTGTCCAGGGCCATCCGCACCAACATATACATAGAGTTACTGGGGAGAAAAGGTAACACAGATCTCATAAATATATGTGTCCAGGGCCATCCGCACCAACATATACATAGAGTTACTGGGGAGAAAAGGTAACACAGATCTCATAAATATATGTGTCCAGGGCCATCCGCACCAACATATACATAGAGTTACTGGGGAGAAAAGGTAACACAGATCTCATAAATATATGTGTCCAGGGCCATCCGCACCAACATATACATAGAGTTACTGGGGAGAAAAGGTAACACAGATCTCATAAATATATGTGTCCAGGGCCATCCGCACCAACATATACATAGAGTTACTGGGGAGAAAAGGTAACACAGATCTCATAAATATATGTGTCCAGGGCCATCCGCACCAACATATACATAGAGTTACTGGGGAGAAAAGGTAACACAGATCTCATAAATATATGTGTCCAGGGCCATCCGCACCAACATATACATAGAGTTACTGGGGAGAAAAGGTAACACAGATCTCATAAATATATGTGTCCAGGGCCATCCGCACCAACATATACATAGAGTTACTGGGGAGAAAAGGTAACACAGATCTCATAAATATATGTGTCCAGGGCCATCCGCACCAACATATACATAGAGTTACTGGGGAGAAAAGGTAACACAGATCTCATAAATATATGTGTCCAGGGCCATCCGCACCAACATATACATAGAGTTACTGGGGAGAAAAGGTAACACAGATCTCATAAATATATGTGTCCAGGGCCATCCGCACCAACATATACATAGAGTTACTGGGGAGAAAAGGTAACACAGATCTCATAAATATATGTGTCCAGGGCCATCCGCACCAACATATACATAGAGTTACTGGGGAGAAAAGGTAACACAGATCTCATAAATATATGTGTCCAGGGCCATCCGCACCAACATATACATAGAGTTACTGGGGAGAAAAGGTAACACAGATCTCATAAATATATGTGTCCAGGGCCATCCGCACCAACATATACATAGAGTTACTGGGGAGAAAAGGTAACACAGATCTCATAAATATATGTGTCCAGGGCCATCCGCACCAACATATACATAGAGTTACTGGGGAGAAAAGGTAACACAGATCTCATAAATATATGTGTCCAGGGCCATCTGCACCAACATATACATAGAGTTACTGGGGAGAAAGGTAACACAGATCTCATAAATATATGTGTCCAGGGCCACTTTCGTTTTCACAATCCAAACGGTTGGACCAGAGTTTTTCTTTTATGAAATAAGGTTAGACCTAGTAATTTGATGCTGCTTTCAGGCAAGCCTAGACAAAGCCTTGCAAGGCCTGCATAAACTTTTGCAGGTCAGCCAGGATTTATATCTGAAACTGGTACATTTAAAAACAGACAAACCAGTTATGCCACATAAATGAACAGGCCCCAGGACAAATCTAAACTAAAAAAAATTGCAAGTGAAAAAGAATTTCTTTATTTCTGTTTCATTTCTAGATATATATTCAAAATTAGAAACTCCAATAAATAATTTCCTAAAAATAAACATTTACCTGGTATAGTTTACAATATTAAAATATTTCTAATTTTAACCACAGGAAAGTGAGACTTCTTCATATTATCCAAGTCCAAAGACATTTTATTTTATTAAGATTTAGACATCATCACGGAATACCTGTACAGTTTTTCTACTTTGGGGGTTATACATGCATATATGTATATATTACAGTTACTGATCCAAATATATCAGCAGAATGTAGTTATAATATTACCCTTGAATTAAGATCTGTGACTCATAAAGTTACTTTAAATTTAAAATGGTTCTGTATGTAGCACATTGATAAGGTAGTACTTACAACCCATCAATCCTGTCCGAGTAAGAAAAGAAATCGTCCAGGTTCGTTTCCAGACACGGGAAGAGGTCCCTCATCATACCCCGCACTTCCTCGTTAATATGACGCCTACAACAGCCAATACACAATCAGCACACCAAAGACTAACTGCATTATGACTGGGTTTCTCAGGCACTGTAACCCCAGCATGTCCATCTACTTCCTTAGACCGAGATACAAGACAGCCAATGGTTGCCATTTTACTAAACAGGTATAGCTAAGCCTTTTTCACTTATAAATCAATCTATTTATTATTTATAAACTTTCATATTTGCATTTGAACACTTAAGGGTCAAACATAATGAAAATAACAAGGTATCTCTAATAAAATGATGAATTAAATGCTTGACAATTAAACGTCGAAACGGAAAAATCTATGGTGAAACGTTTGAGGAAGCAGAAATATGTTACAATTTACAGAAATCAATATATTAGGACCATATGACAATACATAATGTTAGAGAGTTTCTATTTCACCGGATGTTATATTTCTGCTTTAATGAGCCGATGTTAATAAATACACTCATGAATATTTGTAATGTACAGCTCAGGAGTATAGAATAACAACATGAAAAGTTCAAATTCAAAAACAATATCAAACACTGTAGACCACGACATACTGGACCATCATCTGCATGAAAGGAAATGAAAATTGATTTTAAAATATATAGCAATTGACAAACCAAATTATGTACTACAATACCCATGCATATACCCGATGGTGATATCGTTCCTCTCCCTAATATCTATACTAAGTGAACTTAGAGACTAACAATGACTATGCTACACCCAATACTGACCACACTTATACTGTACTTAATGATTAACAATCACAATGTCCCATTCCCTTGTAATGTCTACACTAAGTGTACTTTAAGACTAATTACAAGTTATTACACTAAGTGCAATTGGGACAATCAAAACAGCAACTGCCCTACCCTGTCCTAACCAGTTGCCCCATTAAGTTTACTGAGAGACCTCTTATAACAATGGCATTCACCCCCAGCTAGTTGCCACACTAAGTGTATTTGGATACTCACAATAACAATGCCCCCCCCCCCCCTCTTTCCCTTGTGACTATACTCAATGTACTTGTAGACTCACAACAGCAATGTCCCTCCCTTGTGGCTATGCTCAATGTACTTATAGACTCACAATAGTGATGTCCCTTGAGCTCCCTTGTGACTTTACTCAACATATACGTAGACTCACAACAGCAATGTTCCTCCTTGTGACTATATGCTCAATGTACTTGTACATTCACAATATCAATGCCCCCACCTCCCTTGTGACTATACTCAATGTACTTGAAGACTCACAATAGCAATGCCCCCCCTTGTGTTTATGCTCATTGTACTTGTAGACTCACAATAGCGATGTCCTTCCCTTGTGACTCTACTCAATGTACTTGTAGACTCACAATAGTTATGTCCCCTCCCCCCTTGTGACTAAACTCAATGTACTTGTAGACTCACAATAGTTATGTCCCCTCCCCCCTTGGGACTAAACTCAATGTGCTTGTAGACTCACAATAGCAATGACCCCACCTATGACTATACTCAACGTAGTTGGAGACACACAAAAGCTACGTTCCTGTAATATTCATGACTTATCGCTTGTGTTTACAATTGGGCGGTCATAAACAACAGTGTACACCCAAAGTCACCCATATAACCACACCACACACAATCACCAAACACAAGTCTTCACATGTTTACTGAAACTATGAAATAAACACACAATTAGATAAAGTTAATGGAAAAATAAAAAATAAACAGCAAATGAAAATCTCACAAACAATATTCAGTATTCAATCTATCATGGGAGAATTTCAAATGGTTGATATTTTTGTTTGGATCAAAACAAATTAAAAGTTTAGTTTGTTGTTTATTCAATCATCTACATCTGAAACAACATGAGTGCCATCACACAAACTTGACACTGAATCCTTGTTTTTATTCTGACAGGAACATACTGTAAATTATAGTAACAGGGCGAAGTATTGTAAACAATCTGTCAAAAATGAACAAAAAGCCATAACTCTGTGTAGTGGGACTCCAGAACACAAAACTTCCCTCTCAAGGGGTTCTCACATACAAAATTTGGCAATTGCAGCTATTAGAGTATATGATATAATCCTCAGACAAGGATATATAAAACAAAGGGCAATAACTCTGTGTATAGTTGGAGCACACGACTGAGTAACAGTGCATGACACTCTGCCATTTGCATAAGTATTCACACACAAACATTTGCAATATTACATCCTGGTAACAGAGTAAATGAGATATACTCCAGGGGAAAAAAGCCGTACACTGACAGACTGATGGACTGACTGCAAACCAAATCCCTTTCACTAATATCAGTTTGGGACTTATAAGCGACAAGACATATGAAAAGACATAAAATCATCAAGCATTAAATGTACATAATTTTATGTACAATGTTCATCCATATTTACAATGTGTATCAAAATGAAAAATAAGACATTGTCCTAAATATCTATGATTTTTACTAAAAGGAATATTATTTTATACATTTATATATAAGGCACAGGATGAGTATAGAGGAAGAGCTGCATTGTGTGTTTGGATCAAGAGGTCTATCAGGCCTGTATCACTCTCCTGATTTTTTTTAAAATAAACTCTTTTACTCATTCACCCCTGAAATTTTTTAATGAACTATTCCAACCTTTGAACTAGAAGAATTCAAATGTGTCTTCAGGGGTGAATTACTTAAATGAACTCTTTTTTAAGAACAATAAGAGCTCTCACAATCAACATAAAAATAACAAAAATACTTCAGGACCATATTAGAAATACGCTAATATGTATCAGCCAATCAAAAGCCATAATGGACATTTTGAATTTTGAAACATAGCTTAATAATATGACAAAGTTATTCATATTAACTTTGGTCAAAATCTGTATGCATAATTCTGATAAAAAGTTGATAGACAAACAGACACTGTACCATAGCATATAATTTACTGTTGGGCAAGGTGATGTGTAGATATAAAACAAATATGCACATGTATGTGTGGGATGGCAATAGGAAGATATTTTAGGCTGGTCAATGATCATGGGGAATTTTAATTTAATAACTTAAGGATGTGGGATAGCAATACAAGTTGAAATACATGATGACGGTGTAAAGGGCTGCAATTTAATGACATGACATCCGTCGTGTAAGTGTACTGTATAGACTACCAAAGGAGTAATTTACAACAGATTGGATAAGGTTTCTTTTAATTCAATAAGATAACGTATAAAAACAATATGACTACCATGATTAAAATTTCATGGATCAGGAGCTATTATATTTACAGTCCTTCTTTCAACCATTGACTATAATATATAATTATACATCAGTGCCACGACCATGCACAGTTATACATTTCAACCCTGCAGCATTCAGATAAAGGTACAGACAGACAAACAGAACAGAAAATAAAGGAACAACAGACATATATATATATGGTAGGGTATGGTTTGTGTGATGGGACCAGGCAGAGACACACTGTAATTTAGATGCGATAACGTTAATGAAAGATATTAGAAGTAAAAGATTCAGAAGCGAGTCTAGAGAATAAGCTTCCCAGTGAAAACTTGTATATAAGCATCACAGATTAATCACAGAAGTGTCTGTTGCATCTATTCTACATAAAACCTCCTACTGAAAGCTTGAAAGCATTTATTCATACACAGATTTTATCTGATCACCTTCACCCGATCATCAACAATAATGCACAAGTCTGTCGAAGTTCATTACAGTTTCTGGACGAGGAGAAGGTGACAGCATTGTCATGTAATGCTTTGTATAGAAGTGCCTCTGCCTGAAGGTCACGGCGTTTGAGTGTAGAAGATGCAGAGGCGATACCTGCAGGTGGTTGCGGTGCTTGTCAAAGCCTTTAGTCTCACACACAGAACACACTTACATTTGAGTTGAGACACGTCTTTGAAAAAGACCCTCCCCTAAATTTTCCATATAGTAATTCCTACAAGGAGTCAAAGCCATTTATACAAGATAAATGTAAGTCGAGCGTAGAATTAATGTAATTCATCCTACAGTCTCACCAAAATCTTCTACAATTGAACATATACATTAAAACAACAGTATCTTAAACTTGTAATGATAGATCTTTTCGAGACTTTGAATTTAATGTTTAACATCCGAAACTCAATTTTTCCAATTTTCCAATTTGTTAGTTGAAATGATAAATGACTTAAATGTTACATGAATATTTTTTTCATTTTTTGGTTTGTTTCTTTTCCTCCCACATCATAAGCAGTTGAAATCTTTTAATAACAAATTTCAATTAATACATATTAGGTATCTTAGAAACTATGGTACATGAAAAGTTTGTTTTAATCTTATAACAAGATATATGACCATCTTCATAGGGTCTTTGAGGTCTTTGAGTAACTGCTGTAACCTGGAATAATCTTATATTCTTCGTAAGATGCAAAATTTCTCTGCCTTTATATTTTAAAATAGACGCTTTAGTACCCAAGCATATTAAGTACAGAATTTCACATAGAACAGTTGAGTTTAACTGTAACAGATAACAGCATATTGATTATCCATGTAATAGACCCAGATGTGGCCGTGTTTATATAACAATTTTATAGACCTAGATGAGCCCGAGTTTAATAACCAAGTGAGAGACCCAGATGAGGCCATGTTTATTTAACACATACAAGTATATTTACATTTGCGCTGCCACCCACTATATGAACATTACCAGCAGAAATGCATTTCATTTGAGTATGAACACAAATTGGTTATATCCATATTAAATATGAAGCCTGCTATGGATGTAAAAGATTTGCGTTCATACTGGCATGAACATTTTAAACATGCCATTCAATGTAATAGACCCATGGCGTGATGTCGCCATGATTATATAAACATTTGATAGACCCAGATGCAGCCTTATTTATTGAACATGTAATTGACCCAGATGAGAACATGTTATAAAACATGTGATAGATATAGATGAGGCCTAGACCTGCAGAACAGTTGTGTGCCTTTATAGTTTTATAACATGCATTATCTCTGTGTTTTACAAAATTCAATATGCTTCATTCAAATACATATACTGATAGAATCTGATATTTGTTTTCAAATTTAAATATAAAGTGAACATGTCAACTAGCTCTAACTAAGTCTCGAAGGTAAGAAACAATGAAAATGTCAGCTAGCTACCACATATATCTCAGAAATAATAGTTTTGAAGTTAAAGATATGGTTAACAGCTCAGCTTGCCAGAACATTATCAAAGAAGATGGTCATCATACATTAAAAATAACCATGTTCACTTAATCAAGCAAACAATTACTAGTAAATGGAATTTTCAGGCGGTTATTATGTATTTGTATCCATCCAATCTGGCCGCACCCAGGCACAACTAATTCAAAATTTTAAATGATTTTTTTTTTAATTATCTACCACTAGCAGTCTTGATGAGGTACTACAACATGTTCATGAAACAGGTTTACTCCAGTGATCCATCTTTGGATATATACTCACATACGATTTTCCTATATAATTTTTATGAACTTCATATGATGAGAGAAAGGAAGATAACCATGAAAATCCGAAGATGAATTGGTTTATTTAAAGATCCTTTAATGTTACCTAATCAAGAATTCATGCATATATTCTAGAAAAGACCTCATGATATTTTCTCTCTCATTATCAAGTTACAAATGACATCTTGAAGTCAAATTAGGCAACAGGTCTATAAAGTCCAAATTGTGATATGATTATTAATGTCATAACAGAATTATTGTCACACCTCTGTATAAACACATGTATTTGAAATTAATTTTAATTTTAATTTTATTTTAAGTGAAACAAATACATAAGGTACCAGCGGTAACATTCATGACTGAAGTAGCATACAAAACATCTACTTTTATCTTAACTCATATAATTCACCCCTGAAATTTCATTATGAACTATTCAAACCATTGAATTGGAAGAGTTCAAATGTGTCTTCAGGGGTGAAAATGAGTTGAAATGTAGAGTCTGAGTGAGAGTTAATATTACGTTACACATTCAGTGCGAAAGCTTCCGTTATACAACAGTAGAGTGACAGTCAACATTTACACAGTTAGAGGACAGTTTAGTAATGTTTGACGGTTTGTTGCCGACATACTTACTCGACCGACTGAACAGGCTTACGGGGTTGCCAGATGTCTCCACCTTCCTTATCTTCTTCCTATTCGTTCAAATTCAAATATATAGAACTAACATATTTTGTCAGAACATGAGAATTTATCACAACAAACATTTCATGACATGCATTTCTTTTAGTGAGCACCAATACTAAAAGTTAAAGCAACAAATCAATACCTATAACCTCAATACAGTCTGCCTTTATTGAAAAACATTATTTTCATGCTACTAAATACTGCGACTATTTTTCTCTCCCACAGTGCACTAAAACATCTGGAGATATTAAGGATCCCTGTCCCACTGTATTGTGGTTTTTCTTACAGTGTATACAGGAACTTCCAACCGATATCAAAAATCAAATGTAATGTATCTTTTATTTTGGATACACAATTTCCGAGAATGTGCCACCCATATGTAACAACCAGCTTGGCAGTGTTTCAATGTCTTTAGGTTAATGCGTTTGCTTTTTTATATTGGTTGCCGATCAGGGTGCATGGTGGTTTGAATCGCAAGACAATTCAGTTGTAGAATGATATCCAGTTTGACAAGTGATCTGCTTTATATACCCAGCGAGATGGCCTAATATAAGATTTTATATCTTGTCGCCAGATCCTTTCAATTTATGTGATTGTATTGTATTGTAAATGAGTTTAAGTAATAAATATTGTTTAAACAAAACAAAACAAAACTAAAATGTCGCTGCTTCCTCAGATACAATAGCTCGAAGAGATTATCAATGGGGAAAGATCTTGAACCCAGCAAAAAAAATGAAATAAAAGTTTCGTTTTTAAACCTAAATTGGATACTTCTTAACTTGCACTGTCAGCTTTAAGCAGCAGGTAGCTAAATTAGTTAGTGCAACAGTATAACAATCTTAAGTCCAGGGTTCGAATCTCATCAGTCATAGCTTTAATTTAGTCATGCCAGTAAAAACAGTTTCCAACACTTAGTTATAGTCTTTGGCAGTGGTACAGGGATCCTTAATGTGTTTTGATTCAAAACTTATTTGGATGTTCCATCAATAGAATCTGATACAATACTGTTGTATAACTAATTCTAAATTAATTATTGTGATACAAACCTCTTTCTCTCCTTTTTGTGATTCAGCCACAAGGTGAAAGAATCGGACACAGAAGTCCTGTTCCGCCAGACAGAACGGTTCCAGTTCGCTGAACACCTTGTCTAGCACCTACACAATGAACACAAGCTTTGATGAATTATCGAAAAATCTGTGCATTACTTTTAACATTTTATGCAGCTCCTTTCTTCAAAAGTTTTTTACTGTCAATTCCAATTTAAGACTTGTAATTAGCTGCAAAATTGTACAATCTTGTAACTTAGAGTCACAGTGCTCTACATTGCATATCTCCAAGGAAGAAAGTACAAAATAGTTCGGCATTTTTTCTGACTTGAGAGTTGTCTGCTCATGAACAACAGCTGAGAGATATACAATGTATGTGAAAGAAGCATATCCATTACATTACATGCACAATATCGTTTTTCACAAAATCATATCCTCCATGCAGATTTTGATCTCCGAACCTGTTGATTAAAAGCTAAGAGCTCATCTGTTATGCTACTGGTTATGATATTTGCTTCGTTAACACTTTGCTGCAGCTTGACCTAAAACAATAATTTCTGACATTACTGAATTCTCTGAAAATGTCCAACAACATATAAATGTCTTTTTGATTTTATAAACTAAAAGGTAATACGTAATATAAATCTAATAGGAAAATAACTTTCAAGGTCTGTACATAGTAGTAAAGTGGTTAGATTCTCAATCTTAAATTTCAAACTGCTTGGTAATTTTACATCTTACCTCTTAATAGATCAATAATGTGTTTCTTATAGTTTATCCTTTGATGTACATCAAAAGAATCTCGCGGTCACGTAACAGTAAAAATTGACAGGCTTTGAAGTTGGTGTTGCTCCTTTGTAATCTTTTAAAGGACAAGTACATATCAGCCTAGAGCTTGGTCAGGTTTTTTTACCTGAGACCAATCACACAGCTATCTTCGTGCCTTCAATTTTACTATGACATATTCCAGGGGTGCAGAGAGCGAAAGTGAGCATAACCCCTGGATATCGAGGATGAGTTTTAAAATGAAGTGTAATGGTAATACAATCAACACCTGATGAAGATTTTTTTATCACTTATCCACATGCAAATTAACAGATCTTTGCAACAGGTCATATACCTAAAATTGCTTATCTTGCCTAGCCAGGTATATGATGACTACCGGTATTACTGTACCTGGTCAAACAAGTGTCTCATAGCAAGATCCGAGTCAGAGCCATGCATGGACAGAGAGGCTGAGTCCACACTCTGCATCGACCCAGATCTTCCTCGGGCATCGTGGATTTTCCCCTGTAGACTTGTAGAGGACCCAGACAACTTAGATGCACTTTGACCTGCAAGTCCTGCTCCTAGAAAAACACAGGGACATTATGTATGGCATATAGAATGAAAGTTCATACAACACATAGTTCTATACAAACCATTAGTTCAAACATCTGTACATATTTTGAACAGTGCTGAAGACTTTTGATTATAAGAAGCAGGACAATGTGTGTATGAAGTTGGTTGGGAAAAGTTGATTTCATTATCTATGTTTAATTGTTCAAAAAAATATTATGACAAATACTTACAGATGTTCCTTTTCAGTAAATATTTTTTGGGCACTGTTACAAATATTCTTTTGATTAATTATATTGTTAATTAAATTAATGTTTCTGCTTAAAATAATAATTACAAAATCTCCATGTATCTACTGCCACTGTAAAACCATAATAATTGTATATTATTTATAAGGAAGAGGACATCTTATAATTATATATATAGATAAGTTGCTATAACCTGTGTCCAATTGATTTTGATTATATCAAATAAAATATGTTTAAACTAAAACTGTATATTTGATCATATACTCACAAGCAACACAATGTGCTACACATAAAAGTAGTTCAAATGTATTATGTACTAGGTATACTACTTCTAACAGAACAAATATTTTGTAAACCAATAAGCTAAGATGACATTTTAAGAGAGCATTTTAAAGTAGGTATATCTAAAATTCAAATTTGTTAAAGTGTATAGCAAAACAATACAAAAATATAAATTGTAACAAAAAAAATAAAAAATTGTTTACATGGAAGTGACTGATTTGGGGGAGACAGTACACTCCCTCCTACAGTATAAATTCCTGTGTATATACTGTACCTAGTTTGTTCTTGTCAGTCTTTGTTCCTGTTCCAAGTCTCTGTTTAGCACACTCTATAAAGTCCTGTGTTTCCTTGGTGTAGAGTCGACTCAGGCTGGTCGTGTATACCTACAACACAATCACGTACACCGTCTGTTCTCTATACACAGACCACCCCCGTACGTACACCGTCTGTTCTCTATACACAATCCCCCCCCCGTACGTACACCGTCTGTTCTCTATATACAGACCACCCCCGTACGTACACCGTCTGTTCTCTATACACAGACCACCCCCGTACGTACAATGTCTGTTCTCTATACACAGACCACCCCCGTACGTACACCATCTGTTCTCTACACACAGATCACAATTATGTCCTAGGATAACTCAATCTTACCTTTAAATGTTTGACTTGACTGATTTCCACACCTCTTTGTGAGGTGCTATAATAGATTCAGTGGGATTTAATAGGACATTAGTGGACGCACGCATTGCTGTCTCAATATCCACATCAATCTTTTCAAAACACAAAGCCATGAACTTGAATTTCAATTTTCTGTTGCCAAAAAATCCATTGTTGCCCCTTCACTTCTTAAGCTTTGATACTTCAGAATCCAATACCCTGACATCTTTCACAAAGTCAACAAAACCGGACTCACACTGCACTTTTGGCCAAAAAGGAGCCGACTGCCACAAAGTAATATATGGTCAAACATAATACAAACCTGTGAGAGCTCCTTAAAACTCTTAGGATCTGCGTTTTTTAGCCAAGACATGAGATCTGCATATGGCGTAAGGTCCCGATGACTGGAATGATGCTGGGGAATCTTGAAGTCGATCATCTGTCTACTCAGGGTCTCTCCCATCTCGTTACCCTGCACAAAACAACATGTGACCATGTTATCATAAATATAGACAGCTCAAAATTCCTCACAATGTATCAATATAATAAAACAAGATACTTTTTAATGGCTATTCCAGTAAAATTCTACCTGATTTGTCAATGCTTGCCTTTCCCTTTTTTTACTTCTTTGTTATTGGTTTTTAGGCATATATCAAAGTTTTACTTTATACACTTACAAATGTAAGTATCAAACGTGTCGCAATGTTTCAAGGCCGATTGCTCCCTAAGTCAAGCTAGAAGTCATAGCTCGACAAAGGGACCAGTCAGTCTTGAAATGATGCTACATGTTTGATATGTCCGTTGTTAGTGTATAAATTTAAACTTTGATATAACATATTTCCAAACTGATAAATCTTATTGCCCTTTACTAACACTGATGAGTTCAAAATGGATGAAATATATTTTCCGGAAAAAGCAAAAAGCTTCCATATTAAAGAAAGATGTCTGCTGTTCACTGCATACCTGATGGATGAATAAGTTGTTAAGATGATGTGCCAGACGTTTTGCGAAGCTGGCAGAGAATTTACTGTAACGCTTCTGTTGTTCTTCCACCGCTGACATCTTTCTCAGGGCTAGAACAGAAATAAGGAGATAAAATATTATCTATTAGATTTATTGTATGTAAGAAATCAAATCTTTTTAAAAACAAGCCATTCCGATTGATAGGTCTCGCCTGTGCCCCGTTTTCACCAACAATGCACAGGTCAAGTTTTGTTGGTCTAGCACTCATTGTTTCAGAGAAACTAACTTAAACGCAAAAACTTAATGTTGATGGAGATGCTGACAAAGTCAATGGACCACAAAATGTAGGCCGCATCCAGCATTAAATGCATGAGTCGAGATGTACCACCTAAGATGCATCTAAAAACTTAATGTTGATGGAAATGCTGACAAAGTCAATGGACCATGAAAAGCAGGGTGCATCCAGCATTTAAATGCATGGGTTGAGATGTACCACCTAAGATGCATCTAAAAACTTAATGTTGATGGAGATGCTGACAAAGTCAAATGACCATGAAAGGTATGCCGCATCCAGCATTTGATGCATGGGTTGAGATGTACTACCTAAGATGCATCTATGGTCCAAGTTTGGTTGGTCTAGCACTTATAGTATAACTAAAACGCAAAAACGTAATGTTGACGCCGCCGGTGCCAGAAAAGCAACGCCTTAGTCTTGCTTCCACTACTTTGTGGAGGCGAGATAAAATCTGACCTTTTTCACATAAAATAAATAAATGAGGTTTTGAAGAGGATATTCAAAGTGCCTCACTTTAGTAATTATTTCATATCTATTGGGACTAAATGAAAAAAAAAATACAACAATTTAACATGAAAGAGAATGAGTAGGATAACTACATAATGAGCCTAAAATTCCTCAGTTATGTTGAAATCCATCTGATATTAGAGAATTAGTAGACTAGAAGGCCTTGTTAGGCTAATTATATCAAGGGCTTAAACTTTCTTGATATCAACAGAAGGAACATGCCTGTCACACAAGCCAGGGCCGTTTTCGTTTAAATGGTTGAACTGGTCGGACCACAGTTGTTCGTTTATTACATAAATTCGGACCTAGCAATCTGATGCTGCTTTCATGTGAGCCTTGACAAAGCCTTGCAAGGCCTGCATAAACATTTGCAGGTCTGCCAGGATTTATACCCAAAATTGTTACATTTAAAAATGGACAAACTGGTTATTCCGCATAAATGTATGCAAAGTGTCAATAAAATTGGTGGACTTAAGCTTCTTAAGAAGAGTAATCTAGACAAAATCATGTCTACATAGCTCTTCAGAAAAATGATGAACAAGATTTTACTAAGCTGGCTTTGGCATATTCTGATTGAAACATTTCAGGTGATGCAGAAATATTCTGTGATAAACGAAGGCACTTGAACCAGAACTGTTTTCACTTCGTAAGATTTTGATGAAACTGTTTATTTTTCTAAATTAAGAAGCTTCAACATGTTTTTGTTTGTCGTAAGGACTAGAAATGAGTTTGTGATATTTTTTAATCACAGGCTATCATCAAATTACCTACAGTAGAAAGACGTTTCTCTNAAAAAAAAAAAAAAAAAATTTTTTTTTTTTTTTTTTTTTTTTTTTTCAAATTTTTCCAGTACATGATCATCACACATACACACCTTCACACATTCACACATGCTGAAATGGTGAAATTCATTCCATCATCATCATCATCATCATCATCATAAACAACTACTCATAAAACAAGAACTTGAAATTGCTACAACTTCATCAAGTAATCAAAATTACAAATTAATATAGACCATATAAGTAGTACTTACCTTGGTGTATCTGTACAGCCATACAGTTACGGAGAGCGTTGGCAGCATTCGTACATTCGTAGATCCCGCCCGGAGTGGAGAGGTCACCATCGCTTAGTGCCTTCAGGTGGCGGGTATCCAGGTCCAGCTGGCTCTGGACACGATATTAGTAAACAGTGGCATATAGCAAACATCAACACGATATAAGTAAACAGTGGCATATAGCAAACATCAACACGATATAAGTAAACAGTGGCAAATAGCAAACATCAACACGATATAAGTAAACAGTGGCAAATAGCAAACATCAACACGATATAAGTAAACAGTGGCATATAGCAAACATCAACACGATATAAGTAAACAGTGGCATATAGCAAACATCAACACGATACAAGTAAACAGTGGCATATAGCAATCATCCATGTATATTTCAAAGCTCAGAGGATGATTTATAATAAACTTCGCTGAACATTTCATCATAATTTTAAGCTTACATTCAGCGGTATAGCTTGGACTTCTATTGCAGGGCTGGTGAACATTTTCAACATTTACTATGAAAGTATAGGTCAAGCTATAGTAGAATGTTCCAAAATCTGCCTGCAAGCTAGTACTCAATCAGACATTGAAAATACATAAATATAAATAAGATTTTAAAATCTTATTTTGATAAAAGCTAGCAGAATTTTCCGAAATTTGTCTGCAAACTTGTACTCAGTGGGAATTTGCATGACCATGAATATAAAGAAGATTTTAAAATTCTTGAACAGGCGATTGGTCTAATAATTTACCCTACAGCTAATTACAAGTATTTTTTACAAGTGATTGATTGATAAGAAGAGTTTGTGTTAAACGAACATCAGTTTCTAGTGTGTAGATAATAATTGACATGGATCTAACTTCCAATAGTCAATAACTTTCCACAAATTAATAACTTAACTGAAGGATACACGGACACCTAAGACACACAACAGACAGTCTGACAATACAGTGTTTATAAGGTGGTCGGGTGGTGCAGTGGACAGCGCACTTGCTTTTCACCAAGGCGTCTGGGGTTCGACTCCCCGATCGGACATGAAAAGGTATGGGTTCACCTGCCCAACCGTGTGTTTTTTTTTCCAGGTACTCTGGTTTCCCCCCACATTAAGACCCCTGACGTGCCTACATCTGGGCCAACAAGACTGATAGATATAAGTTGAAATAACTTGTTTCCTAATTATTGTAAATTAGATAAAGTTTATATTTATATTTATCACATAATGTACTGTGTGTTATCCAGTGAATATACCCATGTCATATTATTTTGCTTATATCAGCCATGGGATTGGTTAAAAGTTTCAATTGTGACGTCACGCCTAGGAAAAGTTCATGACGTCACATACTTACGCACTAGAGCCAAAATGGTTGCGTGAAAATTGTTGTTTTACACGAATAAATGCCAGTCTTGATTATGTGATAAAAATGATCTTACACTCGTTTTAATTCCATATGAAATTTAAGAAACTTGTCACAAATTTTTCAATTTAGCTCGCCAGAGGCTCGCTTAATTGAAAAATTCTATAAACTTGTTTCATAAATCTCATATGAAACTCAGAAACTCATGTAAGATCCTATATTTATATAGTGTACTGACCACCAGGCTGTCCAGGTCCTCTAACAGCTGTTGGTGGTTCTTGTTACGAGTGTTGATCAACGAATCTTTGTCTCTCATCATCTCCATCTGGTCCTTCACATTCTGTATAAAATGAAAATAGAAATGATGAGCAACAACATTAACACCACTGAATCCGGTACAAAATGTTATGTTTGATTTACATCCGAAGTGCTGACATGTTTCGGCCAAAGGGAGGCCGTCTTCAGAGCACAGTTTCATGATGTTTGCAACTAGGGTACATTAATGACAGTAAAGGTCATGTGACTAGAACAATAAAGAATAACTGTGACGTCATAAAGTTGCTGAGAGTTACAGTCTGCAGGTAGGGTGAAAAGGATTAGCCATTTTTGATTGGTGCATTCTGTTTAACAGTTAACATTCACCTTAACAGTAATCTGGGTGTACATGACCGAGCAGTTTACAGGCAAATCATATCTTCATGAAACCTTTGAAAAGTGACCATAGCTACACTTGACTGCAGTGTCATAAACTAGACTTTTCTAATGAAACAGGGTCCTTTTGCATAGATCAAATAGAATCATTGAAAAAAAGTGCAGTTTAATTGAAATTCTATGCTTCAAAAAGATATGGGGGATGGCATGCATAAATGCAAACCTTGAATGGCTAAAAGGAAATCATGCTGAATTAAAATTTATCAAATTTTATCAGTTTCTTTTATTGACCTGAAGCATACAGCTCATCAGGACATGGATCACCCCGTGTATGTCAGGGGCGGGATAATGTATAGAGGCAATGTAAATTACAGGTTACGTGTAATACTTCGACTACCTGATTACAAGGGATATCATTGTATTACGGTAGGGAAAAGGGGTACCAGTATATGTTTAAGGTGTTTTTAGAATCACTTGTATAATAAAAAGACACCTTGCATGTAGTAAGGTTTGTTTTTTCATTACAAACGAACGTACCTGAAGTATTTTATCGTAAGAGTCCAAGCGATCCTCAATCTTCTCCGCTTGGTTGATGCCGTCGTCTAACAACCTCATCAGGTTCAGGACTTGGTCCTCCGACCCCATAATGGAATGGATGTTAGCCTGAACAAATAAATGTTTTAGAAAAATCAATAGAGAAATTAATACACTTTTTATGATTTTCATTTGTATTTTGATACATTAAGTCTATAATGAAGTTTGACCTGTAGGTAAGGCCTCTTAAATTTGCAAATTGCAGAAGAAAATGGGGAAACTGGTTATTACATCTCCTGGATGAGATATGTGAAAAGTATACTTGACTTGATTCGTGAGGCAAAAGCAAATTATATCCAAAAACTTGAAAATTGTCTTAATGAAAACATGGTCTCCCCAGGCAAATGGTGGAAAATTGCAAAATCTATTACTAATTTCTCCAATAAATCCTCTTCTATTCCTCCTCTTGAACATGATGACCAATTCATTCACCATCCTCTTGACAAAGCAGAAATCCTTAACAATCACTTTACTAATATCTCTTCGTCATCCCCTGACCTTGAATTACCTCAGACAGCACAGCCCTATACTCCATACTCACTAACTAACATTCATATCACTGAACAAGATGTATCTGACCAAATTAATATTCTTAATGTAAATAAACCCCCTGGCCCTGATGGTGTAATCCCTAAAGTTGTAAAAAAATTGAGTAACTCTCTTGCATTACCCCTCTGTCTTTTATTTAATAAAACACTTGAATCAGGAATATTACCAAATAGATGGAAACAAGCAAATATAAATGCTATATATAAAGGGAAGGGTTCATCAAATGATGTTTTAAATTATAGACCAATCTCAATAACCTCATGTTTCAGTAAAATAATGGAAAAAATTGTCTTCAAAAATCTTTACAACTATCTAATAGAAAATTCTATCTTAACTAAGCACCAGTCTGGCTTTATACCAGGTGATTCTACTGTTAATCAACTACTATTTATTTATAATGAAATTGTTAGCAATATGGACCAGGGGAAGGAGCTCAGATTTATTTTTTGTGATATTAGCAAAGCTTTTGATAGGGTGTGGCATAAAGGTCTCTTACATAAACTTAAAACGTATGGAATTGATGGAAATTTACTTTTATGGTTTGAAAATTATCTCTCTGATAGATTGCAAAGAGTCACCACTGAAGGTTATCACTCACAGTTTAAGGGTATAAATGCAGGGGTACCTCAGGGATCTGTTCTGGGACCTTTACTATTTCTCCTTTATATTAATGACATCACTGACAATGTTTCAACTAATATTAAGCTTTTTGCAGATGACACCTCCTTATATGTAATTATAGATGAAAACCCAGCACATGCAGCACAAGTTCTGACAAATGATCTCTCTAACATTGGTGAATGGGCAGGTATATGGGACATCAAGTTCAACCCTACCAAAACTAAATCTGTAATATTTTCTAGAAAACATAACAAACATCACCCTCCAATAACTTTCCAAAACAGCCAAATCACTGACTCAACAGCACATACACACTTAGGACTGACTTTAAAAGATGATGCATCTTGGAATCAACACATTCTGAATATATATGAAAAAGCTTATAGTAGATTAAATATTCTTCGTTACATTAAAACTAAAGTCAATCGTAAATCATTAATTAAAATTTATATAGCATTTATCAGGCCAATTTTGGAATATGCAGACATAGTATGGGATAATTGCACTCAACAATCTAAAGAACTTCTAGAATCTATTCAATTAGAAGCAGCCAGAATCATTACTGGACTTCGATCTGGAACATCTCATAATAAACTTTATAATGAACTTGGTTGGGAAACTCTGTCAACAAGAAGAAATAAACACAAACACATAATGATGTATAAAATAATGCATGGGCTGTCACCTCAATACTTACAAGATGTCTTAAATCCTTTCATTAACAATCAAAACAATAATCCCTATTTCCTCAGACAAACAAGACTGTTTAATCCACCAATATGCAGAACTAACAATTATTTTGACAGTTTCCTCCCTCTAATGTGCCGCACAACTAACACTACTGATAATGATCTCTTAAACTCCCCAACTCTTGCAACCTTTAAACACAAACTAAATAAAGATATTATTATCGATAATGAATCAACCTTAATTTTTAAAACTGAAGGTGATAGACGGGCCAACATTATTCTTTGTCAACTTAGAAACTTATGTAGCAATTTAAATTTTGATTTATTCAATGACCATTTAACTGACTGTCCCTCTTGTGCTTGCTCTTTTGAATATGAAACAGTTTTCCATTACTTTCTTGAATGTCCATTGTATAATGATCTCAGACTTACTTTATTTACTTCTGTTGATAATTATGGAAATCATAACCATATTGATACAAACATTTTTCTACAAGGCTGTCCTGATTGTGATGGACTAACAAACAGACAGTTACTTAATGATGTACAGTTATTTATTGGTAAATCTAGGCGTTTTAATCTCTATATGATCTAACCAGCCATGACCTTATACTTTATACTTTTATACTTTACTATTCCTATTCCAATTATACTCCACAAATAAGTAACTTTACCTACTTTTCTATAAATGTTATTCTTCTACGGACATAGGAGTTTTAAGTTGAGCATGTTTGTTTGTTGTTGTTTGTTGTAAGATTTGTTCAATCTGTCTTGTTTTACAGTTTCCATCTTATACATTGAATTACACATAGACTAGCTATCTATTTTCATATTAAACTACAATACCTTAACAGTTTTGGCGACTGTGACCTGTGCATATATTTGCACATGGACTTTTGGTCAATGTCTGCCAATATCTGTGTGATTTGATAGCTATATAGCTTATATACAATTGTAAAATGTTATAAAAATAAATAATACTTGTGGAAGTGTTTTGTGTGTGATGTGAGAAGTGTGAATGTATTTGTATTTCAGTTATGTTAATTAAGAAGGAGTTACATCCCTTTAATAATTTTTTTTATAATTTTCATTTCAAAATTGATGTATTAACTTAATCAAATAAAAATAATAGAATCCGTTAATTTAGCCACCGCTGGAGAGAATTTATATAGGCTTTGCCTGTTATTCCATCCAATTGACTTGTATCATCTTTGTCAATAAAATTTGTTGAAATGAAATGAAATGAAGAGTGTGGATTATCCAATATATGGATATCACAAACATTTCCAAATATTTTGTGGTTAAAAAAACTGTTGAACGAATTTTATTTGACCAATTTTTGCAAAATTGGGATTCTGACAAAAATGAATCCAGCAAAGGAATAAATTATAAATTATTTAAAGATGAACTAAAATTAGAAAATTATCTAAATATCCTGTCTACAAAAAATGCCATTATGTTCTGTAAATTTAGAACTGGCAATGCCAGAATTCCAATAGAAAGAGGAAGATGGTTAAATATAGAGAGAAGAAATAGAATATGCCATTTGTGTAATACTGAAGTTGGAGATGAATTTCATTATATGTTTAATTGTCCAAATTTTTCAAATGAAAAAAAAATGTATATTCCAAATTATTATAGCAGGCAACCAAACTGTTTAAAATTCCAGCAACTTTTTTCAACAAATAACAAAGATTTACTAGTTAAAATATGCAAATATATTGATACAGTAATAGAGAGAGTCTGTTCTCCTGGTTAAAACAGCACGTACTCTATCTTGAATGTACCCATTGTATATTTTCTTAATATCACATGTAAATTGTGGTTTAAAAGAATAAAATCTTGTCTTGTCTTGTCTTGTCTTGTCTAAATTAAACATGAGCAGTTTTTACATTCTACCTTTCAAAGGATCAGGTCCCATCATGATCAGGTCCCATCATGATCAGGTCCCATCCAATATTTTAGTTCATGTTCTGAGGGGGAATTGCCAACCTTCTATGCACATTGCTTTGAGCTTATCATATTTTGCAACATGACTAGATAGGACCAATTTGACCAAATGATAGATGACACGTGCCGGTCAACTCTTTAGCGGTGTCTCTAACTTCTTGCAGTTAGCCTACTGATAAACAAATGCTGTACCCCCCCCCCCCCCCCCCCCCCCCCCCCCCCCCTCCCCCTCCCAAAGTCTTTGGCTCCAATAACAAGGTAATGACATAATGTGAAGTTCTTCTGTCTCCTACCATGTTAGCATAAGGATAATTAAAGCTGACAAATCAATGTGCTTACAACTTCATTTGACAATACAAAATTTTCCCACCCGGTCCAGTTTTACCTTTTTTCAATATACTCATTTTACCCTTACTCCTTACCCCATCCAGCACGGAGAGCTGTTTGGAAAGTTGCTCCGCGAAGGACTCTGCGTTACTGATGGCAGCCTGAGACTCGGACATGAGAAGAGCGAGGTCCGACTCTTCCTTCCCTGTCAAAGCCTGGTAGTCCTCCTCCAGGACAGCCATGTCATCCCCGGTCTGGGGAGTGTGGCCCACACCTGATGGCTTACTCACCTCTAAAATGCATTGCAATGATATTCAAGATCAGTTACATCAATACATGTATAAGGATGGGGGTACTTTGTTGTGACCTCCACCATCTTTTTCCTGAGCCAAACACACAAAAATGTATATCAGATCTAATCACCCATACATCATCAATTAAAGTCCAATGTGGAACACCCATGTGGGATTAATAGAATCTCTCACCCCCCTTGGGGGCGAGAAAGGAGAATCTCAACCCGAGGGAGAAGATTCTTAAGTTGCCAAACACGGGGCTGTGCCGAGAGTTTGGCAACTTAAGAATCTTTTCCCCCCCCCCCCCCCCCGTCTCAACCCTAGGGTGAGATAAGGATATCTCACCGGTAAAAGTCTAGATACACCTGTCCTGGGTAAGAGAAACACATTTCCCATACGGGTGTTCCACATGGGACACCTGTATTTTTCATATCCAGAGGCGAGAGAAAATATTGTTCTATATACAAACTGCTTTGATGACAATCAATTTTTCATTAAACAATATTAAGACTGTACACTGTATCAACAGTAAGACAAAAACACAATATATATATATATATATATTATGTATTAAAAGGGAAAATTTAAGCATGTATAGGCTAACTGTTATTTTATTCTGTACAGCCTCTTATCATGACTTCACTGTGAAAGCTTCATATAATAAACATTGAGTATGTTATACCACCCTATATAATACCCTTTAGTTTATATAAAATACCTACCCTCCAATAACTGTTTGGGGACATTGATGAAATCAGGCTTTTGTACAAGACATCTCTGGCTCAACTGTAAAAAATAAATCTCACATGAAAAGGATATTTTGGTTTGGTTTGTTTTTGTTTAACGTCCTTTTAACAGCTATGGTCATTTAAGAACGTGCCAGGTTTTGGTTGAGGAGGAAAGCCGGAGTGCCCGGCGGAAAAACACCGACCAATTCAATGGCTAGTGCGCATGCCTGGCGAATGCCCCACGTAGGTCTCGAACCTGCGATCCAGTGGTGGAGGGCTATAGTGGTAGCAAAATGTCAGACGCCTTAACCATGTGACCACCGTGGCCGCCTATATGAGAATGATGAATTGTATACACTAATACAATTGATATTAACAACAAGTTATAATCACTAAATACTTAAACCACATCATCAACAAGAGTATTTAAGGTTTCATTCAAGCCCACTCACAGTCTAGATGGAAGGACAGTAGTCTAACAACTAAACAGATAACCACTGAAATATAAATAAACTAGAACACTTTCTTACCAATTCTGCTGTATCTTTATAATAAAGCTTAACAGAGCCAAGACCTACATGTTTATTTTACGCGACAAATGGAAAGTAAGTTCTTTTTAAAAAGATGTGATTGTACAATTCATGCATCATTGTTATTAAGATAAATGAACATATTTACCTTCCACAGACAAGAAATGAAGGCCTCCTTGTCAGCTACGCTGCTTGCAACCCATTTATAGATCTTCTCATAATGGAGGTCAAACTCGGCTGTTTCCTGTGAAATATAAGAAAGTATCTAATGACAGCAGTCTGCATGGCTACAGCTACAGTGGTGCATATCTTGGTCAACCTTTTCAATTAAACCACAATTATTTTATGTAAACTGGAGTGTTCAGTTGTATAAATATAGGACAGACTTAGAGTGCTCGTTGAAACACTTATAGTCTGTTTCAAAACTCTGACACTGATCTCACTATAACTCAATGTAGATTTCACACAGCGATAAGATTTCAGCTATAGTCTGTTTCAAAACTCTGACACTGATCTCACTATAACTCAATGTAGATTTCACACAGCGATAAGATTTCAGCTATAGTCTGTTTCAAAACTCTGACACTGATCTCACTATAACTCAATGTAGATTTCACACAGCGATAAGATTTCAGCTATAGTCTGTTTCAAAACTCTGACACTGATCTCACTATAACTCAATGTAGATTTCACACAGCGATAAGATTTCAGCTATAGTCTGTTTCAAAACTCTGACACTGATCTCACTATAACTCAATGTAGATTTCACACAGCGATAAGATTTCAGCTATAGTCTGTTTCAAAACTCTGACACTGATCTCACTATAACTCAATGTAGATTTCACACAGCGATAAGATTTTAGCTATAGTCTGTTTCGAAACTCTGACACTGATCCCACTATAACTCAATGTAGATTTCACACAGTGATAAGATTTCAGCTATAGTCTGTTTCAAAACTCTGACACTGATCTCATTATAACTCAATGTAGATTTCACACAGCGATAAGATTTCAGCTATATTCTGTATCAAAACTCTGACACTGATCTCACTATAACACAATGTAGATTTCACACAGTGATAAGATTTCAGCTGTAGTCTGTTTCGAAACTCTGACACTGATCTCACTATAACTCAATGTAGATTTCACACAGGGATACAATTTCAGTTATAATGTACATATACTAGACCTCTAAAGCTTGTGTTTGACATTTTGCTGACCTTGCTTGAACTTTTGCCATCAACGACCTTCAGTTCACGTAGCAACCAAGTAGATTTTTTCTTGTAGGACTCTCCTTTGTCGGTCTTCTTGATCACCTGACACACTCTAGCCTTGACGGAGCTTTCGTGGTCATTGTTCACTGTAGCATAAACATAGCATACACATTACTTCTGTTTATCCGATACTTTTTAATTTCAAATTTTCAAAAAAAAATCAAAAGTTAATTTCCATTTTTCTTTTATAGAATATTTAGCATGAACCTTGTTAATCAAACCACTTTAGCTCCAAGAAATAATATGTCAAGATTAACAAATGTCTGAAAGAAAAAAATATTGATGTTACAGATCAGATCATGAGACTTAAATTTATTTTCTTAATATTTTAAGCCAATGGACACTTTGAAAATGACCCTTGACAGGCCAATAGTATTCATATTATTATATAATAACAATAGCTCATAGTGTCTGGTTGCACAGCCAGGAGGTGATCACACAATCAAAAAAAACATTTTTGAGAAGGATTATGACAGTCTGCCATCTGATATATATACCATGTCATTAAAAACTGTTAATCGGCAAATTTTGAGTTTACAACATGACGGTTAACAAGATTAAGTTGGTATAGCATCCCAATGATTGTAAATTGATTGATGATTTAATTTTTATGAATCCAAATATGTGATGAATACAGACAAACCAAAAACTTCCTGCAACACTGAGGTAGTACAGCACAATATGATAACCTAGTAAAAAATATCATTGATTACCGATAAACCTTTAGCACAATATCATTGATTACCGGTAAACCTTAAAACAATATCATTGATTATCAGTAAACATTTAGCACAATATCATTGATTACCAGTAAACCTAGCTTTAACACAATATCAATGATTACCAGTAAACCTTAAAACAATATCATTGATTACCGGTAAACTTTAAAACAATATCATTGATTACCGGTAAACCATTAACACAATATAACTGATATCCTGTAATCCTTAAAACAATATCATTGATTACTGGTAAACCTTAAACACAATAACATTAATTACCGGTAAACCTTAAACACAATATCATTGATTACTGGTTAACCTTTAACACAATATCATTGATTACCGGTAAACCTTTAACCAATTAAGTGACTAACATTACAACTTTGTTACACATCTCATCTCCATATCAATGACATCAGATATGTCGCAATAAATACCATCATACATGCAGTATGTTGTTTTTAACTTACAAGCTGCACACAGAAAACTTGTTTTCTTTTTCCGTCCAACTTTGGTGACATGGACAAACCCGACGAGGCGTTCATCATGAGGCAGAAAGACGTCACGATGGAGAGTGTGCTTAATGGCAGTCATCTTGATTTACCTGTTAATGACTGAAAGTACATTTTGTTTAAATTATCTGAGTAACAAAATGAAAAAAACAACCTCACAGTATCCTTTGAATCAAAATTTTCATTATAATTACTTGCAGGAATGTTTGCAAATTTTCATTTAAGACCTTCAGCTTCAGTTTCACAATTATCACCAAACATTTTTTTTTTTTTTTACTGTTTTACATCTTCAATAGATCATAAAACGATGTCTATTTATCTGCATATATAGAAACCACAAACAGGGTTAGCATATGCGCCATCTCCATATCATTTTGAAGCAGAGAATTTCAAAAGAACCCCCTCTTCCTCTCAATAATTCCATTTGAACTACATGTTTGCAAAAAAGACCCTACATGTTCTATTTGAAAAGGACCCCATTTATGACACATGCAGCGCATGTTAATATTAATGAATAAATTGTGATCATTACAATAAAAACTACATAAATATATTGTGTAGAGTAGCATCATATTATAAACTGAAAAATAAGGGGTGTAGGGGGTGAACGCTTTGTATCGAAAAATCCCCATCAGTTACAAACTTTCTAATGATTTCGCAAACCGATGTATGCAGTGAGGCTTTCCATATAGGGGACCAGAAGAAACAGTTGAATTTGGCGATCTATTTTTTATTTTATTACAAACGTAGACTTCAGATGGAATATTTCTTGTTTAAAGGGGAAATTAAGCTTCAAAACAGGAGGAAATTGTGATTGAAAAAGGGGAAAATTTAAGCATGATTTTTGAGGGGAATTTACACAATACCAGTAGTAAAAAAGACCTGGATAAAGCCCTTTAAATGCGAGGCCCAGCTGGTCACAATCAGTCAACTTCATTTTTGTAAAACAGGAAAAATGCACGGCCAGACCGTGGTTCGAACCTGGGACCCTCCAAACTCTAGACAGACGCTCTACCAGGCCAGTTGAGCTATATCTGGTTCCGCTACATGTATATCCCCCCTTGACGAGATTAGCCTTTGATCATGAAGACACACAAGCCAGTCTCAGAATTAACTCTTAGTCTCTAACCAACAGAGCTACAATCCTGACCACAGGTTTATTAACTTTGTTTAGTTTCAATATTTTTTTTGAAGAAAACATAGGTACGTATTCTATTGTTAACTATATTAAAGCAACCCTAAGATTAGCATTATCTATACAAACAATTTGCACAAATGGCTGTCCATAATTTCACAAATAAATTACTCAAATAATGCTATCTTAAGTAAATAAATTTTCTTACGTAAATTAGGAACATTTGTGAGACTGAGGTTGGTGTAAAAAAATCTCTACTTTCCTATACCACCTCATGAATGTACAATTTCCCTAGCCTGAAATACAATGTACATACCCCATATATACCTGTGTCTAAAAATCTATGTTAGAACTAGTGAACATTTCTCAATATTTACTATTGAAATATGTCTGCAGTCTTTATCTAGAACTCTAAATAAAACATCTTTCACCTTTGCACCTGCAAGGTTAACATCCTGTTTAACCATTGTCTTTAAATTATGTGATCAAACTTGCACGTGCTGGACACAGAAAACATACAGTGTGTATTTAGGGATTGATGTAATGTGCATCTTTTTAACAAAGATGGTGGTATGCAACACAGTTCCATTTAAATGTTATTTTTATAATTCCATGATGTGTGGTAGTCAGTGCATCTTGGAGAATGTTTGAACGGATCTGCATTGCAATACCATCACTAACATTACAAAAACGTACATTTTAATCCTTTATTAAATATATTTAATTATGATTCAAAACAATATAATTCATTCTTTGTACATGGTCTCATTTGGTTCAAAATGCAATTAAAACAAATTGTTTTACACTTCCGTATTATTTGCATTACCTACAAAATGGTGTCGCTCAGGTGGGAAATTTGGAACAATTCCGAGATAAAAGAAACTTTATCTTTTTTATTTAGTGTCGATTGAATACCGAGGACTCTGCTGACAGAATCTAGTATCGGCTAGTGATAAATAAATTAATTACCGATTTATTGATATCGTCACAGGAAATTGCTGTTGTCAACACCTCAATTGTTTCCGACACCAAGTGGTGTCGGAGAATTCCACGTTTTCATATAGTAGTGCACTCGATCTGGCCCCACACCAGATATATATCTTGTATTTAGATTAGGGATGTCGCAATACGCCAAGAGTGTATCACGATATAATGCAATACATAATGAATATATTGCGATACGTATCCCGATATATTGTCATAGAAAAGATGTGCTCGATTTTATAATAAGTTGTTGTCAGAATGTTATCAAACTAAATCAGCTATAATATGGATTACATTGTGACATACTCAATTGTGACATAGTTACAAGATTTATGTCAAACCATCCATCGATTACAAAATTTGAGCTAATTCCCACCATAATTAAAAGCATGTTTTATGCTTATTGGCATATATGTTGGAATTTTTAGTAATTTGCAAAGTTAAAACACCAAGCAGAATGAGATGGTAAAACCAATGAGATAGGCCATACATAAAAATAAGCTTTTAAAAAATATTGCGATACAGCAATATTTCATCTCTGTATTGTGGTACGATACCATATACCGTGTATTGCGATATACCTGTTTTCCTATATATTGTGACAGCCCTAATTTAGATAACTATTCTCTTATAACTTTTCCAGACAGCCAGAGTGATGCGACAAAAATAATGGTTACAGCCACCGCCTACTAAATGGTTACTCGGACGATTAACGGGTGTAAGATTATAATTAGCCTACTTCGTGTATGCAACCGAAGTATCTTATGTACCTCCTTGAAAACTTCTTTTCTCTGCAACTCTGCATCAGGAAACAGCACATATATCTCACAATATATACTGGAAAGCTACTGTATTCGCTTCATGAAGTAAAAGTAAATCTGTCACCGGAAGTTTACAAAGCCTCGTTCTGCTAAAGGAAGTAGCCGGTTTCATTAACTTCCGTTACAAAAAACAAAATATTTAAGGAGCCTTGAGCGGACAAACTGTAGGGGAGACCGGAACAAGTTCGATTCATTTTTATTCATTCGCGTATCCGATTGAAACGGCTGAACCGTTTGAACATGTAAAGAAAACGACAGACACAGATCTGAACCGAGCCTGACCTCAGGAAAATTCGGTCGAAACTAATTTAAAATGCTGAATATTGCCAGTTTGCGTTATTTCTTTCTAAAACAATGATGTCAAGTCACATGTAGTTTTTAAGATAACGTTACGTTATGTAATTCAGTGGACGCAAGAAAGAAGGACATAATATTCTTGATACATTGTTTTTTATTTTCCGAAACTGTAGCTTTACTTTAGCTTTACTTACAGAACGGTCAAAGTGCGTTCGCTTATTTCTGCCCTACACGTTCCGTTTCATCCGGGATAAGCGAATGTAGCTATGGTATTTGCTGAAAATTATGTTTATATACACCATTTGGAAAGAGAAAATTCCATAACTTTCATAAAATAATGAAGAAAAGGGCAAACACTTCCGTATTGAAGAATTATTAAACCTTTTCTGTCGGAAGATTGGACGGCCGAACGTCCCCCGCCCGGAGGCAAGTTCGGACAGACAGTATGTGGTAAGTTAGGCCCACTTTGCAATCAGCATAATATTAACTTCATAAATCGTGCAACGTTCGATTTTCATGCCAACTTCACGACTTCTTGTGACGCATGGGCCGAATTTGCACCAATTCCAGCGTCTCATCATAAAACCAGAGTAGGTCCCATCACAAAAAAAGCTGGTAAAATGTACGTCACCCTAGCGACAGACATGCCACTCTCCTTGAACCCCCAACTGACCCAACCCGAAAACATACCATCCTTCGAGAAAGACAACGGAGACGAGACCATGATATACTGTCTTAACGACACTCTATCAGCATTATCCGGAAGCGAAGGTGAAGAAACCAGTGTCAAACAAGTATAGGATCATTGTTTTAACAACTTTAACAATAACATCACCAACTAAACAAACCTCAAGATATTCTTTAGCAACGTAGATACTTTGACAAACAACAAAAAGATAGAACTAGAAGAACATATCCGTTCTCACTCGCCAGACATCATATGCTTAACCGAAGTTCTACCAAAACACGCATGTACCGAAACTGCCCTGCAAGTGTACGCACTAAATCAGTTTGGCCCAACCAACAATAGAGGGGTAGCACTATACTGTAAAAAAGGTATCACTACCCATGAAGTGGAATTACAGGAGATGTGGCATGTACTATCAAACTTAAAGGAAACGACACCTTACTACTATGCTGTATCTATAGAAGTCCAAACAGTACAGAAACCAACAACAAAAAAGGTCAATGAAGTTCTGCTTAATATTGGAAACCACCATGCCACACACAGTTCTGCTTAATATTGGAAACCACCATGCCACACAATACTGGTAGTTGGTGACTTCAACTATAAAGAAATTGACTGGGAGAACATGACTACTACAGTAGACGACAACCACCCAGCCAGCAAGGTTTTAAAAACTACCATGGACAACTATTGGTACCAACATGTTAATGAGCCTACAAGATATCGTGACAAGCAAACCCCATCGACTCTAGACTTAATATTCACTAACGAAGAGAAAATGGTTAACAACCTGCAATACAAAGAGAGTCTTGGAAAAAGTGACCATGTTATCTTAACATTCGATTATGTTTGTTACCTAAACACCCCAAGCGGACAGACACCAAAAACTAATAGGAAGAACTTTTACAAAGGTGACTATCCCACTATCAAGAACGAAATCCTCAAGCTTGACGTAACGAACATTAAACATAAACAGGACGTGGACGAGGCGTGGAATTCTCTTACTGTATCCCTCAACAACATTATTGAAAAATTCATACCCGAGAGTAAGGGAAGTAACTCCACAGCCTCTATCTAGTATATCATGTCTGGACCAAACTGCCTGTGAAACAAGAAAGGAAAACGCTCGGAAGTGGACTAAATACCTTCACTGTAAAACACCTATAAACTTTGAAAACTACAAATCTGCTAGGAATAGATACATCATGCTATCTAGGAAATCAACCTACAACTACGAAAAAGACCTGTCGGCGAAAATCAAGACTAACCCAAAACTCTTCCGGAAACATGTCAGGAACAAAACCAAAACCAAGACAACATCTGTACAACAAGTAGTTAAAAACAATGGAGAACTGGCAGAAAATAGTAGAGGCACTGGAAATGTACTGAATGAATTCTTCTCTAGTGTATTTGTTTATGATGATAACCGAGAGCCACCAGAACTAAGGGAGAGAACCCACGAAAATTTACTGGAATCCATAGAACTGACGCAAGACAAAAGTTACTACGGCCATAAGATCAACTAACCCCAACAAAGCTCCTGGACCCGACAACCTGCACCCAAAATTCATTGTCGAAACATGTGATGCAATAGCCAAACCACTACAAATCATATTCAAAAAGTCATTAGATGAAGGTGCATTGCCGATGTTTGGAAGGGAGCGAACGTTACACCGATATTTAAAAAGGGTACCAAAACCAACCCAGGAAACTATCGCTCAATTAGTCTTACCTCGGTTCCATGCAAAATTCTACAAAAAATAATCCGAAACGAAGCAATGGCTTACCTGGAAGGAAACGAAATATTTACCAAACACCAACATGGCTTCCGTCCAGGAAAATCATGTACCACCCAACTATTAGAAATCCTTGAGAATGGAACAATACACTCGACGAGGGGGAAAACGTTGACGTAATCTACCTCGATTTTAGTAAAGCCTTTGACAAAGTGTGTCATAGGCTCCTAATCTACAAACTGGAAAAATGCGGGATCAAAGGACAAATCCTAAACTGGATTAGAGCATTCCTGACAGGACTATCCCAACAAGTCATAATTAATGGAACTCCCTCAAATAATCTGCCAATACTAAGCGGGTTCCTCAAGGGAGTGTACTCGGGCCGACATGCCAGATGTATTAGTTCAACCCCAGAAAATCGTGCAAGACTGCAACAGTGTATCGACAGAATGTGCCAATGGACAGAAAATTGGATGATGAAGCTGAACGTGGATAAATGCGAGCATATAGAAATTGGACAAAAACCCAAGTCATCCAACTACACGCTGACGCAATATGGAGACACCATCGAAATCACTAAGGTAAATAGTGAAAAAAATCTGGGAGTTCACATCAACGAAAAACTAAATTTGTCCATACACGTCCAAAAAGCAGCCAGTAAAGCAGACCAAATTACAGGAATAGTATTTAGAAGTTTTACATATATGAGCCCAACCATATTTGTAACACTCTACAAAGCTCTTATACGACCCCACCTCGAATACGCCTCAACGATGTGATATGGTCACCCCTGTATACCAAGGACAACATTACAATCGAAAAAGTCCAGCGAAGAGCAACGAAAAGACTTTTATTGATATATACTCTAAATTTTTTGCTATACATTTGAAAAAACGACCTAGTTATGATGAATTGATTTTTTACGATCGTTAGCGTGGCACACGTGTGTGAATAGAACTCTGCAGATCGTGAAGCGTCTTCAGACTTTACCTCTAAGATTAACCTATAAAGTAAGCGACATCAGAAGATATGTTATTCATATGACTATGATACACCTATGTACCAAATTTCAGGACGATATTTGAAAAAATGACAAAGAAATGGCGAGTTGAATTTTTACGATCGGCGGCGTTGCACACGTGTGTAAAGAAATCTACAGATCGTGAAGCGCCGTCAAACTATATCTCTAAAATTTATCTAAAAAAGTAAGCGAAATCAGACGATATGTTATTCATGACTATAACACTCTTTTATATCAAATGTTGTTTTCCTCAACAGAATGGATGATTTTTTCAGTTTCAGGTATGATTTGTATATAGACTCGTTGTCCATAATATATGTTCGTGTGACTATATCTATGTAGTGTGTTTAAAAAACATATAAATACTGTTTTTTATTTGTAGACTTATAAATTTAAAAAAATATATATATATACTTTAATAGAGCTAAATGCTTAATACCGTCGGTATTTTCCCATTTTTAGCGATTCCTTCGGTATTGTTTTTAACCATGTCATTCGTAGAAGTAAAAAAAAGTCGGTTTCCTAGCATACATGTTTTGGGAACTTTTAACTTTTAGAGCTTTATCAAAATGTTGACAATTCTCGCAAGACAACTAAGCTTGAAATTTTGCGCGTGCGCGCCCAGTTCATAGTCACCGGTACCAACGACCATCAAGAGTTATTGCGATTGATGCATGCTGAATCTTGTGAGGTTTGAATAAGCTTATTGTGCGATTCATTATTTCGAAATGGTTGTTTTTCGACCTTTTAGACATTCACTTGTGTACGTACACCATCCACAGACTTAGACTTAATCTAACTCAATGGTACATCAGAGTATTGAGACTGTTGAATGGTATAAAGTACCTAAACCCTGAATTCGATCGGGAACTTCATAAGTTGGAAACTTGATCATGTGATTCATTGATTTGCAATTGTTGTTTTTCAATCTTTTTTGTAAAACACTCCGCGCTGGGTCGTTGGTAAAATCTTTTTTGTCTATATATGTGTTCTATACGACTCATCAATCTTTTGCAAGATAGTAATGGATTTTATATTAGATATCAATTCAATAAACTTTTCTTGTGTTATTTTGTCATAGAATATGCATAAACTGATCTGTTTAGGGGCAACATCTTGTTTAAATATATATAGTAAAATAGACGTCTCATTGTTTAAGTAATTGATTATACAATCACAGCATGTCAGTGAAACAATGTTTATACAGCAATGTGTTATTTTTTATGAGAAGTTCTTTTTTTACACAACCAATAAAAATTTAATGTGACGTTTCGATGACTAGTACGATATGTACACTGTCACCTTCATCAGACAAATGAACTTCCTACCAGATC